GTGAAAAGCTCACTTGGCCCTTTGGGCCAGGTAAGCTAATAACAGTTACTGTTGGAAAACTAGACTTTATTTCAAAAAAGATATTTTTAACATCCTAAATCCTCAAGCTTTAATGATTACGAAGACGTGTTGGTCTTAAGATGTAAAGTCCAGCGCTGGAGGAAATTTATATCTATTGAGCTGGACATTATATCTACAGCGCTTGACTTTAAATCTATGGCGCTTGATTTTACTTCTGCAGAGCTTCAATTTAAAAAAAAAAACACAACTCTCTATCTGTATTAGACAAACAGCCCTCAGTAAAAACTGATTTTTTTGTTATGTTCATTTAGACACCAATCGTCCAAGCTTTGCCTACAAGGATCCGAAAACGCTCCATTCTATTTTCTGTTTTAAAGACCATTTGTGATTCTCCGGTTTTGTCGGATTGATACACACCTTCAAAAATTGGCCCAAGTATAGTATACGTTTAAGTAGTTCCGGCTAAATTCTTTCGCTGGTATTTATAATTTATAAGAGTCCTAGGGGAGGTTTAAACAATATACTAACAGGTCGACAAGTAACCCTTACCCTAACCCTAAAACTAACCCTAACCCTACAGGACAGCAAGTCGACAGGTCGACAAGTCAGCAGGTCGACAGGTCAGCATATACATAATTGGTCTCCAACAATTGGATTATTGAGTCAGCAGGTCTACATGTCGACAGGTCAGCAGGTCAGCAGGTAAGCAGGTCGACAGGTCGACATGTCAGCAGGTCCATAAAATATCCTCACTAAGAAACAGTTTAAAAGCCGCAGACTAACCATAACCCTAATCTAACCCTAACCCTACAGGGCAGCAAGTCGACAGGTCGACAAGTCAGCAGGTCGACAGGTCAGCATATAAATAATTGGTCTCCAACAATTGGATATTTGAGTCAGCAGGTCTACATGTCGACAGGTCAGCAGGTCGACAGGTATATTGTAAGCAGGTCGACAGGTCAGCAGGTCGACAGGTCAGCAGAAGTCAGCAGGTCGATAAAATATCCCCACTTTGAATTTTTTTTAAGCTGTCATTCTGTTGACAGGTCGACCTGCTGACCTGTTGACCTGCAGACCTGTCTACCCGCTGACTTGTCGACCTACTGACCTGTCGACCTGCTGATTTGTCAACCTGCTGACCTGTCGACCTGCTGACTTGTCGACCTGCTGACCTGTCGACCTGCTGACCTGTCGATCATTTAATCTTTACAATATTTTAAATACATACAATTCACATAAAATTGAATGGAACTACAACTGTTTTATAAAAATGAAAACCAAATAACTGAAAAAAGCCTCCTTTATTTATATAAGAACCAATTTACCTACTATGAAAAAATAATAATCCGATGGAACTACAATTACGTATTCTATACTTGATCCCAAAAATTTAAATGCTGAAATTTCATTGGCTAATGTAATAATTACCAGAACAGAAAGTAAAATGGAGTGGTGTCAGATCCTTGTAACCAAAGCTTAGACACAGGATCTGTATCTTAATTAGATTGGTTAGGCACCGACTATTCATCTTTTGTGGGCGGGAGTATGTGTACTTTCTTGGGCTCAGGACAAACATATTTTTCGATTTAAAAAAAAAACAAAAAAACTTTGTTTTCAAATTCATTTTTTTAATTTCATTATTGTTTTATTTTTTCCCTCGTTTTCAATGGAAACAAACTATTTTTTCGCTTCCCTCCTGAAATAGATACTCTTTTTCATGAAATTTGGAATCAAACATTTAAAAAAAAACATGCCCCCCCCCCCCCTCCCCAAAAGAAGGATGAATGGTTGGTACCTTAGCCCTGATTACAGTTCGATTCCTTGAGTCTGGAGGTGTATATAATTATTAGCGGCTTCCATCGAAACCTTTTATATTGCGGGTTACTGTCTAGTTGAAGCTGTAAAATACATGCACGAAAAACATAATAAAAAGCTGCGCGCAAATGTTATGCACCGAGTTGAAGTTCATCCCATATCTCGTTTTATCCATAACGGGGGTTCATCGGTGGTCGAGTGGTCTAAGCAGTCGGACTACTGTATCACTAGCCTATCAACACTAAGGTTGTGAGTTCGAATCCCGCACGTGGCAGGTAAGCTCGACTCCAATCTTAATTGACTAGAACTGTCAGTTTTCCTACCGAAGGTTGGTGGTTCTCTCCGGGCACTACGGCTTTCTCCATCAATATAAACTGACCGCAACGAAATAGCACGATTGTGTTGAAAGTTGCGTAAAACACCAATCAATCAACCAATTAATCAATCAATCAATCAATCATCCATACCGGTATAATTATGAGTAGATAATTTAATAGCTATTGTTATGAAATACTTTTAAAAATGACTGTGATTTAATTGGTGTCTTTTTCAATAAAAGATGTTTTATCATATTTTCGCCACAGCAGGGAAATTCTTCAACTAGTTCCTGCATTAATTGATTTGAATCTTCCTCTAAAATGTTTGAAACGTTGATTTTTGTTAAATTGCACTGTCTCATTTTTTCTATAAAATGCACTTTCGGAAGCTGATACGAGGCTGGAGCTGCTAAATCAGAAACAGTAAACTGGCATTAAAAAAAAATGCAGAATATCCTCTGGTTTATCAAATATTTGAACTCCAGAAGCTCAGTACACAGTCGAGGACCCATAATTTAATAACTTTAACTGTGTGTTCATTATAATTGTAGACCCATCGATTTAACCTTAACTTTGCAATTCATATTAAATTTTTGACAATTTTCCAACAATATCAGATGTGATTTTTTCCTCTTTAAAACGAGGTACCAGCGTGTCAAGATTTATCTCTTTTAAAATCTCAACCATTTTCCAAACGATAGCTTCAGATTTGAGCTGGGATTATAGTAATTCCGGGGAAGCAGATCGAAATCAGTTATGACGTACACAGTAATCATTCTAATCGTAATCCATGTTCATTGACAATAACAACGATGAAAGCACATCATATAAGGACGTTTTGACATCATATAATGAAGTAAACCGAACCACATAATATAATGTTACAAGCACATAATATAATGACACAACTACATCATATAAAGATGTTTGCACATAATATAAGGGAAAATGCACATCATATAAGTATATTTGCACATCATATAAGGATCTTTGCACACCATATAAGTACACTTGCACATCATATAAGTATGTTTGCACATCATATAAGTATATTTGCACATCATATAAGTATGTTTGCACATCATATAAGTATATTTGCACATCATATAAGTATATTTGCACATCATATAAGGATGTTTGCACATCATATAAGTATATTTGCACATCATATAAGTATGTTTGCACATGATATAAATATATTTGCACATCATGTAAGTATGTTTGCACATCATATAAAGGTGTTTGCACATCATATAATGACAAGTGCATATCATATAAAGGTAAATGCACATCATATGATGAAAATGGGCATAATAAGACAGTTTTGGCGTTCCATAGAAAATGGTAAAAGTGATCATTCAATTCTGATTAGAGTTTAAGATGTGTGGATATGACAAAGTCCATGTTATGCAAAAGTTAACCCTACAATCTTTAGATGAAGAAATTAAGAGGAGCACAAGTATATCATGTGAATAAGATTCCTTGGAAGTTTATAACAAAATTATCTTATGCGGTTCAGAAGCAGTGGCTGCTACAAAGGGAAATATGTGGTTATTCAAACGAAGGTGTCTTAGGATGAGTCGCTTTATGCCGTAGGAGATCACTCAAGACATGAATTAAAAGCAGCTTAAGTTTTATCGTTAAAACAAACCTATGATATGTCATGAAACAAAGCAATTGATTTTTGTGACTTTACCATAAAAGAATTCAAAGATTATTAAAATGATTTGTAAAACTGAATAAAAATATTACTCGCAAGAAGCTTTGTTAAGTTAACGAGACAAGATAACACTTCAACATCTGGCGCAAATGTGTGCAAGAGAACGCTGAAAGTAGTATATAAATTGTCAGATGACAGACAGGTACCAGACCAAATTTACCGATACTAGTAGTAGCAATTTGAATAATCTAGTAGACCTTATACAATACGCATACACAAAAAAAAATAAATAAGGAGATGTGAAATGGTTGTCAATGAGACAACTATTCATAAAGACCAAAGGACAAAGATGTGAGCAACTAATTTTGGTCACCGTACTTCCTTCAATAGTGCATAAAACCAAATCTGTATAGTGAGCTATAAAAGGCCTCGGCATGACAAATGTTAAACGTTTCAAAGAGAAAAACCAACGGCCTGATTCATACTTAATGAAACACAAATATGACATCCAACAAAGACAACCACTGGATTACAGATTTCTGGCTTGAGATAGACTGATAAAAAATACGGCGGGGTTAAACATGTTTGTGAGCGTTGAACCCTTTACCTAACCTTTAGAAGTTTCTGATAAAGTTTGTCGTAAATTTTTGTTGGACGAACGGATTGACGGCTAACGGACGCACAAAGTGATTGTAAAATAGCCCCACTTCTGGAGCGTGGTCTAAAAAGACAATAGACACAAAATACCGATCTAAGAGTGCTCACAGTTCCTGAAAGCTAGTCAATGTAAGGATTAATATACTGAGTTACAAGAATTTGTGCGGAAATTCGACGTTTGCTCTACCACAGCTTAGTTAAACAGATTTTTTTCAATTTCAATTTCAAATGATTTTTGTTATGCTTTGTTTGTTTGTTAGTTTTATTATGATTATGCTTTGGGAATCATGACAAATGAGTCATTCTAGAACAACCATAAACGTCCATAGGCAACTTTGTCAGTAGGATTTAATTTTTATATTTTATAAAGTTTGCATCATTTTCATCATGTCTGTACATACAAACTGGTTACCGGGCGGATATTACTCTCGGGGAATGTCAATCATCCAATAACGTTGCTGACCAAGTGCTACTGTAGTAATGCTTACTGCGAATTTTTTGTTTTCATTTTTAACAACACATTTACTTACTTGTGCTCCAAACCAGTCAAGACTTGAGGTCACGAAGAGGTAGCACGAATTTTCATAAATCAACCAATTCGAAGAAGGACATTCTGTCTTTTGAGTATCTAAAAAAATTATTAAAACTTTTAAAAACAGTTTTTGACATTGCATTGTACAGAATTAAATAAACGGACTTTACTTATCTACACATCGATAAATCTTGAAGAAATTCATACCAAAATTGACCATGTGGTTGGTCAAGGACAAGAATGTAAAAGCTAAAATGCTTTATATAGGAAGCAAAGTAGGTTTTTTTAAGTTTCATGTTTTGATTAGTTATTTGTCGAGCATTGCATTGCCATACAATAAAGTATCATACACTGATCATTGCTACTGATATCAATATGCATGTCAGTATTTCTAAAATAATTTTCTTTAGGTAGACTCGGTAGACATTAGTATTAGTTTAAAATCAAAGACGACCACTAATGAGGTTTATGAATTAAGATTGGCATATTAACATATGGGAGGGTAAAACTAAGTTTTGTATTTAACCTCACCCCCGCTTGATCTCGGTCAACATAATTGCATATATTGTAAAGTATATAGTTATTGTTATTTTCAACAAAAAAGGAATCAACATATGTTTTATATCTAAAAAATCCGTCCGTTTGACAGACGACTAAAACATAGAAACAAGTAACAATAGTAGAAATGCTCGATGCTACTTAAGGCAAGCTCAGTCTACTTAATCTGCTGATAGTAAAGGCATAAAAGATATCAATCAAGATTGAGTGTCCTTAATTGTTTTTAGGGAAAATCAAATATCAACTTTTCCTACGTTGTAATACGAGGTATCTATTAGATTATTGCTTTATAGATATAGGAAGATTGTATGCAATAAAAGGCTTATGCATCATCCAAGCGCTGAACATTTGACCTAAGACAAACTTAATTCTTTGTGACAAATGATGGCAAGATTTTATGTATTTGATTGATATCGTTGGAAGTATTTAAAATATTTGCTCTGTAACTGTTTTTTTGCACAGAAATAGCTATTAAACCATATGAATAAACCAAACTTTCTAGTTTGTTGATAAGAACTTGACATATTGTATAAACTTGTCTATTGCTAAAGACTGTATGTTAATTGACATAAGGAAGTCTTCTGTGTTTGCATGTGATTAGGTCGGAGTTTCATTAACTCATACCCTATATCGCTTTTTTAATACTTCTCTTAGAGATATTTAAAGAATTAATTTGGATACGAATATTCATGCTACCTTGGTTTAACTATCTTACACATGAATCAAAAAATAAACTAGAGATGTCAAATATTTGATAATTTGTTCTTTTGTATTTGTCGAATAATTCCTCGTTGGCAATTAAACCACATCTTCTTATTTATGAATTATAGGCTCTTGTTATTGTTTTCTCCGGTTTTTTTTTTTGCCATAGTCTTATCTGTTTTTCTTCAACATCTGGTTCTTTCTTGCACCCTGGGTATCCTGTTCGCTTTGGTTTTTACTTCACATCAGGAGGGAAATGTATTCTGATACGTTTTGTTTTTATATTTCTTTAATATCAAGTAATACAATACAATTGAATTAAACACTTTTCCAGTCGAAATGTTATTTTGCGTTTTAACTGAATCCTTTTTGACAGAGATAATAAGAGATTAAAGCTAATGTTTGATTATGAGTTCATGTATGGTTTTTTTCTGGGATATTCTTATTTAGGTATTTTCATGCAAAGGTTTGATTGTTCAATAACTTAACGTATTAAACGCCATAACCACAAAGAGCCTACACAAAACAGCAAAAACTTTTTAACGTAAACATTTCCTAAGCAAGTTGCAACCTGAGTAATAGAAACAGTAAATTGTCATGATTTTTGAGATGAAATGTACAGTGAAAATGACTGATTGAGTGGTTAAATACGTTTTCCTGAGCATTGAAAAGGAAAACAAAATGCATACAAAATATACTTACTTTCTGTTACATAGAGTGTGGTAGTTCCCATTCCTGTCCCAAAAATATTAGATACGGAACATCTATAAGTCCCAGCATCACTCTCTTCCGCATAAACGATCGTAAGGGAAGGTATCGAAACGCTGCCTCCACTGTATTTGCTAGTATAAGGCAAAATATTTGATGTAGAACCACCAGTATTATATCTTTCCCATTTAACCCCAGTAATAGCATACAGAGGGTGAAAGTTGGCAGTGCAAATCAAAGTCACTGATCTACTGATTGCAACTTGGTATGATGATTGCTCTACAATAACTGTTGGTGGCTGTCCTACAATGAAACAAAAATTATATTTAAAAAAAAAAAATTAACTGTCCCACCTGAAAAAAATGTATAAAAGTTAATATGTGTCATTTAGATTTTTTTCATATGCTATTGTTTAGTTCAACAAAATAATTTTTGAAGTGTTTTGTTTTCATTCGACTGTTTTTTTACGCCCATTTGTGAAAATTTCTTTAATCCAGAAAAAACTCTTATGATGGCTCAGAAACTACTGAAAAACAAGTGAAAGCCATTAAATCATCTACTGATTTATGGATTGCTAAGAGATTGTTCACAATTGCACTGACCTTGAAATTAGGACTACGGGGAAAATACACATGACCACAAATTACGCCTTGAAATAAAAAATAACGAACACTATTTTCATATTTTGATCAATGGTAAGAATTATGATAAATGAATAAACAAAAGTACCAAACTCAAATTAAAAAAGAGGGAAGTACATAAAACCTGACAGAACCGAACGCTAGAGTTAATTAACCAACGAAAAAAGTAAAATAAGAAAAATATCGAACTCCAAGGAAATTTCAAAACGGAAAGATCCTTATCCAATGGCAAAATCAAAAGCACAAACACATCAAACCAATGGATAACAACTATCATATTCCTGACTTGGCACAGGCATTTCCGTATGTAGAAAATGGTGGATTAAACCTGGTTTATTGAATTTTAAGCCTAGTACCTTTTGTTAGCTATTATTCGTGTGTTTCTTTGTCCTATATGTTCTCCCATTTATTTGTATTGTGGTCCTGTCATGTGATGTTGTCGTTTTGGTGTTGTGTTTGACGTTGCCATAAAAGCGGGAGGTTTGGCATGCCACAAAACCAGGTTCAACCCACCATTTTTTTCTTAAAATGTCCTGTACCAAGTCAGGAAAATGGCCATTGTTATATTATAGTTCGTTTCTGTGTGTGTTATATTTTAATGTTGTGTTTTTGTTGTGTCGTTGTTCTCTTATATTTGATGCGTTTCCCTCAGTTTTAGTTTGTAACCCGGATTTGTTTTTATCTCTATCGATTTATGACTTTCGAACAGCGGTATACTACTGTTGCCTTTATTTATAGCTAGCTTAACCTCGCACTTGTATGACAGTCATATACAATTCCATTATATTGACAACTAAAATACAACTGTGATATTCTTGACTTGGTACAGGAATTTCCAGAAGAATTCTAGATGATCGATAGTTTTTCAAACAAGAGGGTGTTTCTAAGCTTTAGTCATATCGAAGGACAAAACCCTTTAGATGAGATATAGGCGAGAAACATCCTCGGTTATCTGTTTGTTGCTATTTTGCCTACGAAGTCGTTAATGTTTACATTAACAACGACACGTGCACCCTAAGTTTCTAGCGATAATTTTCTATCTCAAGCGAGAGGCATGATATGAAAAATTATCACAAAAAAGATCAAAGGAAAAATACATAAAATAGCGATAAAATAATATACACTAGTTTGTTCAACATCGATTTATGTATCTCTAACAATAGTGTGATGAGTTCTACATCTTCGATTGTTTGCTCTATGAAATGATCTTCCATGTGCTTAAAAATAGAAAATTGGTACCAGGGGGCATTCGAAAATCATAAGTTTAATAAATGCAGGCAAAACCATGTCCAAAAATTAAAAGAAAGACAAAGGACAACCATCAACAAAATATAAACTAGAAGACTACAGACTGAGCAAAACGAACCCCATTACAAACTGGGGGCGAATAAGGTGCTCCATAATGGTAAGCTGTCCTGCTCATCATGTGGCACCCGTCGAGCTGCCAAATTTTTAAATTAATTTAGATTTTTTTATTATTCCATATCTATCATGTCTTTAAAACTACTAGTTGAACCAAATGATTACATTGTTTTTAAGGAGTTTAAAGTTGTGGTTGTTTTGTTCTACACAATGGTCTGGTTCTTATCTTATAATCTGAAACTCCACATAATTTTGTAAGAGTCTTGATCTTGATCAACAATTCTTTTAGTACATCAAAATATTGATGGGTCAAATAAAAGAGATATTTAAGATTTAATGCAGGAATCAAAATAGACGGATAGTAAAAATTATCGTTTCTTCATTAACCGGTCAACTTATTCTGAGACATTAAATGAAGGTTATTCCAGAAGACATTGCTACGTCCTCGGAAGTGTTAAAAGGTGAAAACATTGAATGACTCGACAAGGTGAGAGTCTTACCTTTATTGTAATAGACCACCACGTTGGAGCTCAATAGTATAAACAGAAGGTCGCAGGGGTTATATCTGTACTCGAACACATAAAATGTACTTCTAGAGAACCAACGAAAAAAGTTCGAGACCCCCTTCCGTCCAACTTATAAGCCATTACCATAACATTAAGCATTTAAACAATTATTAAAATTATTAAACCACACTTTTTTCGGCTATAAACGCTCCTAATGGCATTACTATCTTGGATTTTTATTTTTGATTAACTCTTACATATATAAGTAAAACAAGCCTGTATATGCTAAACCATGGACGCAATACAACTTTAATCACACGCTGTTTATGTTCCGTTTTTGTATGGCTATGGAAGAAATATTGGTTACACATATCTAATTTCATCAGACCAATAAGTGAACAATTAAATATCTAAAATATCAACGCCAAAAGAAAGAGGGATAAAATCCAAATATTGTTTTACAAATTGTGTAGGAATCATTTGTAAGTCACACGACAATAGGTTGACCGACAAAACACTGGTAACAAAAAGTGATTGATTCCAAAGGTAAGTATAAGTTACTGCTCTATTAGTTTCGGTAGAAGTGTATAAATCCGATGAAAAAATATGAGCAACAGTCTTACCCAAAAAGATATTTTACACACAAAAATATTTGTGAATACATCTAGTTACAATTCTTTTTGGGTAAAAATGTTGCTCATATTAATGACAAGATCTAAAATAAAGCGAATTTGGCAGTTTATCTCAAGAAGTTTGAAGCCCTAATGTAAATATACAAGAGAGGCGGATGATACCAAATATAGGTATAGTTAAACTCGAACTGAAAATGCCATGGCAAAAACCGAAAAAGACCAAAAGTCACACAACAGTCTACAAAAGTCAACATAGAAACCTATAGACTGAGCAACACTAACTCTATCAAAATTCGGGAGTGATCTCATGTTCTCCGGAAGGGTAAGCAGAAGACAAATTTCTAAATTATAAAATAAATGATGTCTGACAGACTAATGACTTATGAACTTCTTAAGATATTTATTTGTAGAATTATAATACTTTTTGTTTTCTTCGAATACAAATGGCCAATAAAATTGCCTTATCATCTCCTTCACAAAGTCAGCACCTTACCATAAGTGAAAAATATAAATCCTTTTATTGAATGGTTCTCACAAAAATTGCAGAGAAAAGGAATTGTGCAATTATTTATGACATATATTCACTAAACGCCAGTGACAAAACCAAGAGCAAATGCAAAAGCGATTTCATTGATGATCTTTACCCCCAAAGCACCATTGAATCCTTCCACATGAGTAAAAGGCTGACAGCTCATTTCAAGTTCAAAACGGCCTCTGGCATCGGTTTTGGGTAAAACATTTTAATAGACGTCGATCACGCTACTATGTTCAACAAAGAACACATATTCATGGTAATACAATATATCTAGGAAATAAATGTAGCATAGTTATATCGTGTAAACAATAATCCGACAATATCATCGAAAAATGCTGAAACAATTTGAACAGTTAAACTACCTCAGGCCACAACGATATAATATATGAATTAATGCAACAATTATAGTTTACAGATATTCAAAAATATGATTACGAATACTAATTCGGATGTTTTATATAATAATTTTTATAAATTATCTGCCAAAAGAGAGAAAATGAAGTAGTTACATTAGAAAAGTATCCCAAGAATAAATATGTCATCACCTTTAAAAAAACTTATAACCATACACCTTAAGCGTGAAAAACAAATTCGATCTCTACAATTTATTTTTTATACAGGGAAACAAATTTACTGAAGGTTTAAAAGAGCACAGAGAAAGAAATCAAAAATGAATTAACAAACTGAATTTAAGATTAGGCGTTTAATTTATATCCAGTTGATCGATAACCTGCTAGAGGGCTGTGCCTACTCGCCCTTTTGCCCCATGATTATATATTGGAATAAATAAAATGACGAGAACTGTAGGTTAACTAAACATGCAGTTGTACATAAACAAAGGTTTCAATTCCATACGAAAATATGATTGTACACGCTATAGGATGTTCTTATCTGGTCCTTTTTGTTTTAAATGTCACTTAAAACACGTTCTCTGTACACTAAATATGATATGGACAAATACCTGTTGTGACAAAAACTGATTTTAATACAAGAACCATATAATGGAGTAAGGTTGCACACCCAGCGCTCCACATACTTAATATGGATTTATTTTTCATATCATCTTATATCAAGATTTTTCTTATTATCATACAATCTTTAATAGAATCTGATTATAAATGAAGGCGCTATCTTGACAATTAATAAGGATAAGATTCCCTCCAGAACTTCGTTGCATGACGTAAAAATAAATACTTGATTATCATTAAGAATTTTGTGTCATTATATCAAGCTAAAAAAGAAAGTATAATCCATGTTTTTATTAATATAATTCTTATGCGGGTAATTTAAATAAAAATGAAACTGGGATCTTTTACAATGTCTCTAGTAGGAAAATAAGAAGATATCTAGTGAGAAAAATCAACACATTTAACTCGAAAATACTTTGTTCATCACAATATACAACAACAACAAAAAGGAGAGAAAACAAAAAACAGTCCATTATACAGAAAATTTAAGTTGAGCATCACAATCTAATAAATGCTCACTGAAATCGTAACTTATTCTTTCTATTTATGCGGCATTCATAGTTTTGCTGACAAAACAAGCAAAATATAGTTTTGCTAACAAAACAAAAAAAAGTGCGGTTACAAGTTACATTTGGGAAGTATTCAATAAGTTCGGACGGGATTGTGCATAAATCAAATATAACATAATCGTTATCATCAATTACACTGATATATATACTGTAAATAATATCAAAGTTGGAACTCATCAGAGAAACCAGGTTTACAATTAAATACGCCAAACTTGAGTTTCGTTTACATGAAGACTCATCAGAGACGCTTAAATCACAACAGTTGGAATACCCTCTTAATTGCAAATTTGAAGAGAATTGAAAACAAAACATCATTTTATAGATAACACCGAGGGTGTCTGGATTGATAAAATGAACCCCAAATAAGAATTATCTGACTTATACACTGTAAAAAATAATGTTTTTTGCAAAGATTTGCAGGAAATTGTATCCATTTTTACCGATGACATTTAAAAAAAGGATATTCTTTTCTTATACGTTTAGGAATAACCACGCCACACGCCTCAATTATAAGGTGAAACAAGACTTACTTAGTTATCACTGTTCAGTAACAATTGTACATTAAAAATGTCACTGTTGTTGTTGGAAGCACAAAAAGTAGAGCTTAGATTAGAAGATATATTTGCCAGTATTCTGTAACCAGTCGTTTTTGAAGTGCGTCAAGATATATGAAGAAAAGAAATCTTCCTTCCTTCACCCAATAATCTTCCCAAATTTAATGAATATTATGAAAATAAAGCTATTATTTCTATTGTAAATTGTTAATATCTCAACAACAACTTACCATTAGTAATAGACAAATGTGTTGGTGAACTCTGTCCTATTCCTACATTGTTTGATGCAAAACATGTATACTCTCCTTCATCGCCACCATCAAGATTTAATATTGTGAGATGTGGTATAGATGGAGAACTACCGCTATATTTATTGATGTTTGTATCAGGGCCGATCGTAGTTATGTAAGAATTCAATATTTTCTTCTGCCAAAACACATGAAGGATCGAAATTCCAGAATTCACAGCACAGGTCAAAGTCACGTGGGTAAATCTTTCATTCTGATGATAAGCCTGACCTCCAGATACAATAGGTACACCTAGAAATAACAATCATAGTATTTTATTATGAGTCGTTTTGCTATTATAATCAAGTAACTCTAATATAAATGTTTAGATATATAGAGTAGAAATAAACACTGTTTCAAGTCATGAAAATATGTAGAAAATTGCAATACAAGAGAAAATGTGTACATAAAATCATTAAATTTCTTTAGGAACCAACATTTATATGCCCAAAAATAAGATAAAATTTTACTTTATATTCCCATTTAATTTGTATCATCATTTTTACTGAATTTTGTTCTGCAAACAGTTCTATTGAAATTTTTGTAGCTGTTCCTAATACTGCCATCTACAAATAGTAATCTCTTTGCTTTTCCTTGTTACGATTACACACCGATTGTTGTCAATATCTGGTAAAACACAATTACCAAAAATGAAAAAGAGAAAAATAAAAGGCCTTCACAGGAACATGCGAGCTAAAAATAGTAAAATATATGTCTTTTTCGAGGTCGAACTCATTAACCTTATGAAGCCATGATGAAATGTCAACGTTAACATTACCTTGCTCCTTAATTTGGAAAATTTGAATTCATTTACTATCGTTTGGAAGTACTTCATCGTCCGCAGCATGATATCTTTATTCATACTAGAACGATGACTAAGAACAAGTTTATAATTTTTATCCTTGAGGTAAATGGTCTCTTTCACCCTCTTTTGAAAATCTTGGATGCAATGGATTGGTGTAGATAATAAAACTTAACCATTCTTCTGTTTATTATTGACGGCTAAGCATTGGGAAACGATACCAGTAAAACATTCAATTATGACAACCATTTATGCAAAGAGTTTTCTAGTATTTATTGCAATAAAAATGAACACAGATTATTTTAATTTGCAGTTGATATCATGCAGTTTTCATATTTAATGTTATTCGATAGGAATAGGTTATAATTGTTTAACAGCTAAAATCCTAAAATTTTTCATCTGTTTTAAACGTCAATCAGAAAGCAACACACTACAAACAATCTTCAACGATATCCAGGTAATATAACATTTAAATCTCCATGTATTTCAGAAAACATGAAAATATATTATCACTTCAATTCAAACTAAAACTAATTCAAAATATGACCAGTCTGCATAAATTCACAACATACCAAAACTAAAGACTGAGCAAAACGAACCACACCAAAAACCGGGCAACTGATTTGTACAGCTTATTCTAATGTTGTGCTGATACAACACTGTCCCAAGGTAGGGTAGGCTTGTGTGCTCACAAACATGTTTAACCCCGTCACATTCTGTATTTGACTGTCCCGAATCATGAGCCAGTTATCTAGTAGTTGTCGTTGGTTCATGTCTGTCATGTCTTTTTCGTAAATTGTACCGTTATAAATTATGTCGTTAGTTTTCCAGTTTGAATTGTCTCACATTTTTCATGTTGGGACCTTTTTTAGCGTATAACACGGTATGGGGTTTTCCCCATTGTTGAAGGTCGTATACGGTGACCAATAATTGCTTATATCCTCGTCATTTGAACTCGATTTGGTGGATAGTTGTCCCATTGACCAACTTTCCACATCTCCGTATCTGTATATTAAAATGGTGTTAAACATGTGAAGCTAGACAAATGAATTTCCTATACATTTTTAATACAATTAAGATAACATTTCTATTCAAATTGTACAATATCAAGTTTACTGCATCTAGCCAATCAATATCTCTTAAGTGATATTCAGGATTTCTAATTCAGAATAATTTGGATATTTATTACAAACATTTCCTTCGGCCTAGTGTCAATAGTTTTACTTACCAAACAATCAACAAAAGCGTTATTTTAAAGTACTATAAAATGATTATTCCATAATCATTGACATTTAACCTATATTGTGTTTGTAACCAAAGATAATCACTGACATGGTTCTCCCTATGCTACATTTAAAATTTGCAAGGGGTAAACCTCCAATTTCACTTACTTTCAGTCGTAACCAAAACTGCATCACTGACAGAACTTCCCCAGTTATTTATAGCACGACACCTATAGCGTCCATCGTCAGAAGACTGATAATCGTGTATTACAAGTGATGGATTATCGACAATAGAACCTTGGTACTTTATTGGCTGCTGTGAAGATGTAATTATCGGGTCAATTATTTTTCCTTTAAAATCTATACGTATCCACTGTATTTCTTTCAGAGAACTGCTGGTTGATTCTGTAGTGCAAGGAATAATGAACTGTTGTCCTATAATCGGTGCAGACAACTGTTGTGGAACAGAAACAACTGGTGGAATGCCTGCAACATTTATAAAACATTTTTCTTTTTTCATCTACACTATTGTTGCATGAAAAGGACAGAGTTGAGATGTTGAACAACTAGGTTTCGCAGTCCGCTTGTGTATGTGCTCTATGATGATGACTGGAACGTTTTGGATATAACTAAATTCGAAAATATTTTTTGAGATGTTTCGGTGGTAGTTCAGTGATTAATGGTGGAGCAAATGAATTATTCTTATAAGAATAAAATTTGTGACAATTATAAGTAAGTACATTTATCACATCTAGTGCAGTGACATAAGAGACTTTGAAGGCAATTTGGTACCGCTTCAAATTATTTCATATTTTTAAGAAATACACATTCAAAGGAATTATGTCATATATAATTCGTTTTCGTCATTGAATACATTATAAAATGTTCAGAATGTTCTAATGTACATTCTGTATCTATATACTAACCTTTAGGTAACACAGCTATTTGGTCAGCATTTAGAATATCAACGCCATTGGTTACCTGGCACGTATAGTATCCAAAGTCATCTTCCTTTACAGAAATGATCGTCAGAGATGGGGAATTTAAATTACCACCAGAATATCTTGGATTGTTAGCTATTACAATAAGGTTGTTATTTTTAAACCATTTTACAGATGTCGCACTTCCTGTTACTTCACATTGTAGTTTTACATTAGATAATAAAGTAGGAGAATATTGAGTAACGGGTACTTCAACTCTCATTCGTACATCTGTAATATATAATGCAAAACAGTAAGTTTATTTACGTTTCTCTGCTTATTGTATAGGGATAAATATATATTGATGAATATTATCGTAAACATATTTTGGTTCATTTTACTTTATCAAACTTACTGCTATTGAATTTTCGTCTTCTCGTACTCTCATTTCCTGTCAACTTTTTTTATGCAATAACCTGAACTTAATAAAAATTCGGCAATCACATAACGCAAGTGCGAAGGGAAAACCGTCAAGGTTAAGATCTGTATACTTCGGCACCAAAACCGGAAGATCAATAAGCAGCCAAAATATTCGATCAACAATCACCGATTGCATTTTTTTGGTCGATTATAACTGAGACTGCTTTAACACTATAAGTTCTGGATTCATAATAAATGTTTAATAAAAAATGCACAGAGAACTTAGTTTAGTATATATGGATGTGTGGGTCCAATAATTTCCTTAACATTATGATTATCAGAAACTATGCATAACTCTTTAAGAAATGAAAATAAGTTATCGTGGAATTTTAAAGTCCATAGATATGCAAAATTTAAAGAAAGAAAACCACACAATTGAATTAAAAATAATGATAATCCATGCATTAATTCGATTCTAATAACATGCATTCTACTTTTTTTTTAATTTTCAATCGATGCCACCTTCAACAAACTTGTGCATTTAATGTGCATACACCTAATTGTTGTATTTTCCTGTGCACATGTACGAGTCATGAACAAACTCAGGCTATGATATACCTTTTAGTAATCTGTGGTTATATTTTTATTTTTACTTTCTAAATATCTATTCGACATTTGTAACAAAAGGTATTCATTGACCACAAACCTACTGTCGTTTGTTTTCTCCAATACGGTATTACCAAATGTTTATTGATACTGTTAACATCTGTAATTTATCCATATCTTCCCTTTGTACATATGTTGTATGTGGTTTGTCTTATGCTTTCTCTTGTATAGTTTTGAGTGTCCTTTCAATCAATTTCAGCGTTTGGTCCGTGTGACAATGGTCAGTTCAAAGTGTATGTCATGTACTTATGTTTGGGTATATGTTCACAATTAGTTTTAATCGTTTTGACTGATCAATGTTTTTACCAATAATCTGTAAAACTGTTAAAAGTATCATTACAACCGAATCCTCCCTGTTACCATATAACATGTTTAACCTCAGTGCTATTATCATTTGTTACTGATCGCAGGAACCGAGAATAATCCAGGCCCAGATCAGAGTAATAAAAAGAATTTTGAAATAGAACACCTTAATTTGTGTAATTTATTTCCCAAGTTAGATCTCATTAACAATGAAATACATGAGTATGGCATTTTTTGTTTTTATGAATTTCGATTAATGATCATCAAATCAAATTAAATGGGTTTCATAAACCTGTAAGGCTAGATAGAAATAGACATGGTGGAAGTACTAGTGTGACCATTTTTTTTTATATTAAAATAGTTTACATTTTATTATAGGGAATGACTTATCCGTAAGCAATCTTGAATTGTAATAATGAAAATTTTGAGTTAGTGTATTATACAGGCCTCGAAGCTCTAATTATAAAAAAACAGAGATTCATCCCCATGTTTAAAACATGATGGCCAATTGGATTAATCCATTGGGCAAATCAGAGAGTATTGCTAATATAGCTAAAAGTGATACGGAACTAGACATTACTGATAATAAATAGCCTTGTCGTGCCATTTAAACAAATTTGTACGGAACTAGACATTCCTGATAATAACTAGCCTTTTTGTGTCATTTAAACAAATTTGTCTTCACTGAGAAAGAAGTTTTATATTAGTTAGATAAAAACAAATAAACAGCTGGATCTGATGGTATGAGTCCTAGAATTTTAAAAGAAGTTGATAGCTCTATTTCAAAACCATTAACTAAACTATTTTATATGTCTCTTTCAGTTCAACAGGTTCCATTGTTATGGAAATTTGCACATGTTAATCCTATTTTCAATGGAAACGGTAGTCCACATTCAGCTCTTAAACATCGTACTATTTCCTAAGTACAATGATGTTGGACATATATAAACTGATTCCATTCACTCAATTGTAGATAATAATGTTGAAATAAATATTGGCTTATTGATTTTCGTAAATAGATTATTTTCGTTTGATATGAATGTTGCGTATCTTAAATCTGTTCAGAAATATATCAGTGACACTCTTCGTTTTGTTTGAAAAATATCATTTTAGTCCGTTTTTTTTTTCTTTTTCCAACATTATTTTATTTATTCCAATTAGTATGCTAAGTGTCTCTTCCAAACCTTATACTATCTATTTTATAGCTAATGAGCAAACATTTTGAACGGTAAGGTTAAAACCATCAAAATTGAATCTGACCTGTATAATGGCGAATGGCGTAATTTTAAAGTTTCAAACGATTTGGTCAAGCGGTATTTTAATCATTATCTGGAAATCGAAAAATGCATGATTTTTTATTTTTAATTGTTTTTGGCTTTTAACTAGCTTTCAATAACTGCGAGTACTCTCAAATCGTACTTTCGTGTTAATTTGACCTGTTGATACAATTTGTTATGTATTTTTGTTATTTAATGATTATTTATTCAGTGTTATATCTTTTAATATATACCACCTTTGATAAGTGTTTAGTATGACGATAAATTTTCACTTTTGTTCTCGTACTAGGAACAAAAAAATTGTTTGTTTTGTAAAAATTATTTCCGTACTCCATGTATACCTTACAACAAAATTATTTTTTTTTACCTGTGTACGTTATTTTATTTGGCGGCATTTTGTCCATGGTTATGGTTATTTTTCTGATATTGTTTTACATCTTAATCCCTTGTTTTATTAATTTTGTATTTACATTGTGTCATAGATCAAATTTATTCGTTCAGTGTATTTTCACTTTTTGTTAATATGTCTTTTGGTTGAGTTAAGCCATTTTATTTTCTATTTTATAGTGTGTATTTCTATGTTGTGATGTTACACTATTCTTTATGGTAGGGTGAAGGTTGACGCCTATTAAAACGTTTAAATCCATTGCATTTGTTTGCATCTGTCCTAAGTCAGTTCATAAGTGTTTCTCGTTTCTCGTTTTTTATATAGATTAGACCGTTGATTTTCCTGTTTGAATGGTTTTACACTAGTCATTGTTGAGGCCCTTTATAGCTTGCTATTCGGTGTGAGCCAAGGCTCCGTGTTGAAGGCCGTACTTTGACCTATAATGGTTTACTTTCACAAATTGTGACTTGAATGGAGAGTTGTCTCATTGGCACTCATACCACATCTTCTTATATCTATTGTAAGATACGTGTGTCAATAACACCCCGTTCACACTATGTCGTATGAATCCGTGTTCGAGTCGAAATAATTAACTTGGGTTAAAGGAGACGGTATGATAAGGCAACTTGTTTTGGCCCCTTGAATTTAAAAATCAGAAAGTATCATAAATATACCAAAAAACATCCTTCAAATGTTCACAAGACATTAGTCTGTCATAAATCAACATTTATATTTTTGAATTCTATCTTGCATATTGCATTAGGGCTTTAAACTTATATTATCTAGTGCAAAACTAAATTATCTGCCAAAATATCCACAATTTGATATATTTTCATTCAGATTGAGCAACAGCTGCACCCCAAAAGACATTTTGCTATAAGATGCACTTTATCCAGATTGGGTAAGTCTGTTTCTCATATCTATTTCGTCCAAAAACTATGTGTAATAATATAAACGTTACTAATTTTACTGCATTAGATGCGCATTTCGACAATTAATCAAATGTCTCTTCAGTGATGCTCGAGGCCAAAGTATTTGTAAATCCAAAACATATTTAAAACCATGAAGAGCTGATCAAACAAAAAAGGACCCTAATTAAAGTCAAATCCAAATTGTGATATCGGCTCAAACATATCAATTCCAACATGTTTCTGATATCACAGTGACATCACAAGTTTCTACACTAAAGTCTCTAGAATGCATTTTAATTTATTTATCAATACAATAACAAGCGTTTGAAAGGTTTGTGTAATTCTACTATATTGTAATTTCAGAGATTAATAATGGCTCTTATCGGTCCTTTTTTTATGTAGTGTACACGTCTTTACCTGAAATGAACCCGGAATGAAATTATCCCTCATTTTAAGTGGGGTTCATTTATTTTGGGAGATTTTTCATATTGATTTAATGTCAAGTAATAAACATCCAAGTCAGTCGCACTTCAAAAATACTTTTAACATATTTCAGATGGTTTCGGATTCTACCAGAGTTATAAAAACTTCAACCGTTTTGATAGATAATTCAAAGCAAAATCTCTATACTGATGTAAAAGATCACGAAACGGGAAACGTCCGAAAATTATGGAGGCAACTGTATTATTTCAGTGGTAGTGAAAATTGTCATGGCCATAAAATGTTAAATGGTTGTAACAATAAACCTATTACTGACTAAAAGAGCAAATCAAATATTTTTAACTACAGTTGCATGATTACATTGCATGTCTCATACATGAAAATGTCTTATTTACTAACTAAAAACAACCAACGAATTAATCACACTTAATGAGTCAAAGGCAACAGGTCCTAATAAAATTCGGTGCAAAGTTTTTAAGAAATGGCCTCACATCTTATTTCCATTCCATGAATTCATATTTCTAATTTAAACATCAGAAAATCAGTTCACTTATCGTTATTCTGCATGTGCCTATCCAAAGTCAAAAGCCTGTAATTCAGAGGTTGTCGTATGTTGCTGTATATCGTATTTGTTTTCGTTTATTGTTTTGTATATAAATTAGGCCGTTATTTTTCTCGTTTGAATAGTTTTACATTAGTCATTTCGGGGCCTTTTATAGCTTATTATGCCGTATTGGGTTTGCTTATTGTTGAAGGCCGTACGGTAACCCAGAGTATTAAACTTTTGCGTCATTTGGTCTCTGATAGAGAATTGTCACATTGGCAATCATACCACTAATTTTATATATAAAGTTTTAAAGTATTAAGATTGAAAAATAATGTTTTAAATTACAGACTTATTGCAACTGTACCATTTGTAACTTAAAATCATTGAGAGACACTTGAGACTCAATTGGTGAATTTTTTGAACAAATATAATGTGTTGTATTCCGTTCAAACCAGTTTTGTCAAACTGTTTTGATATCTTTTTTAGACATTTAAAAGCCATTAATAGCGGCAATTAGAAGGAGCGATATTTCTGAATCTTTTGGTCTTCTAAAAGAGAGGCGGAAGAAACCAAAGGGATATTCAAACTCATATGTGGAAACACAGAAAACTAAATCCTGAACTGATCCTTAAAAATTACATCAATATTTTAATATCTCACTACAGTGTTTTATTTCATATTTTGTTGATTGACGTTAGGGTCGCCATTTCAAATACTTCTTCAGATGTGGAAAAATACAAAATTGTTTCTCCAGGGTCAATTTTAGGCTCTTTATTATTCTTAATATTTATTAATGAGTTGCCTTTATATAATCCTAATCAAATACCAGCATTTTTTTGCTGATGATAGCCATGTTTCTGTCATTGGGAAAACAAAAGTTATATAAGTCAGTCACTTAGTATTGTTTTAGAAAATATTTCTCATTGGTGCGATGAAAAACAAGCTGTTAGAAAATTTGTCAAATAAAAAGACAATGTGTATGAATTTAAAACAGAAACTTTCTGCGATGTGTATTAAAACATTTGCTATGTCCATTACATGTAATGGCTAACATATTAATGAAGTGACTGTGAAGGTCCTTGGTATTTTTGTTAACGCAACTCTGTCTTATAAAGATAAGAAGATGTGGTATGATTGCCAATGAGGTAACTCTCCACCAGAGACAAAATGCCATAGAAGTTAACAAATTTACGTCACCGTACGGCCTACAACAATGAGAAAAACTCATACCGTATAGTCAGCTGTAGCAGGCCCCGAAATGAAAAATGTAAAACAATTCAAACGAGAAAACTAATTACCTGCCTTATGTACAAAACAATGAACGAAAAAATAAATATGATAAACAGCAACAAATGACAACCACTGAATTACAGGCTCCTGACTTGGAACAGGCACATACAGGATGTGGCGGGATTAAATTAGTTTGAAGGCGCCAACCCTCCTCTGACCTGGGATAGTAGAGTTACATTACAACATAAGAACAAACTATAAAAATCAGTTTGAAAGGGCTTAACTCATCAGATCAATACAAAGCAGAAAGACATAGAACAGAACACAGACCGGATGTGGCAGGGTATCTGTACATCCCCACAACAACAAAAAACGCTAAATACAGATCTGAGAGGACTTGCAGTTACTGACAGCTAGTTCAAAGTTAATAATAGTTAGTTTTGGTACAGCCAAACTTCCAAACCAAATCTTTGTATCTATGGAAAAATTTAGTAAAGGTTCTAGGTAATAGTCTGATCATATCAATTATGTCATCAAAAAGTTAATTTTTCATTAGCGTTAAGGAAGAGATCAAGAAATATTTCACAATAATTCTATTGTACAATGCATATATTTTCCACAATTTTGGTTACCGTTTTCAGTAATGAGAAACTGCAGCATTTATTTTAATGGACAGTTTACCAAAATTGCAAAAGGACAGCTAGAATTATTGTATACGAACACAATATTAAATTTTCGTCTTTTGAACTATTTAAGAAATCTTTAATTATTCCATTTCCTGGAGAATTTTATTCCACAAGGCTTTGCGGATGTATAAACCATAAAAATCGATTGCGATCGGATGCGACCCAGAGCAGACAATAGAGTGAACTGGGTACTGGGGGCACACATCTTGAACGGTAAATTTCTAAACCATCATCATCAAACTTGACCGCTTGTAGTTTATGGTTATTTAAATTTCAAAAGATTTGGTAAGTTTGTACTTTAATTTGGAAGAAAACAAAACTGTGAAGGACGGATGGACATATGCATCATTATGTACCCCCTATTTGAGCGGGGTATTTAACAGGACGGCACTGATAAATTTCCAACTAAAAGAGATGCGTCGACAAGGTAAAACGTCTCTTGCTATTAATGCCTTCCAAACCTTGTCAAAATGCCAAGAAAAGGAATAGGACACAATCTATAATATTACAGATGAGACGACATCTAGATTCTAAGATCTAAAGGCCGTGAATACATGCCTCTCGTTATATTCGAAACACAGACACACCATATCGATAAACCAATCCGCTCATTTGAAAGAACCATCTTTTTCTATCTGTTCCGTTGGTTGATATATAGTCGTTTGATTTTGTCAAATTTTATGGACTTTTACCTTTTTGATTTACCTTGGAGTTTGGTATTTTTGTTAATACTTGTTTTTATTAATACTATGCAAAAACACAGTAATGTAGTAATTATTTGAAGTATCTCTTACACTTCTATAACTTTTCTAAAAGGGGCAATAGTTGTCAAACTCATGTCAACCGATTTGACTCAAATTCTAATATTTGATTTTTAACATACTATAATGTATATCCAAATTACAAAAAGTCTAAAATAAACAATTAACAATGCATGCTGATGAGATGTATCAGCATTGCGTGTGTATTTTAGTCTAGACGCCATCTGATTGACCAGCGAGATGACCTCCGAATACTGCCGACGGTTATATACCCCGATATAATCATAAATATCAATATAAATAGACATCGAGCACGTGCAATTGGATTTTTCTAGGTCTGTTTGATATCATGTTGTAGATTAAAAAAAAAATGTTAATCAGCGTTTTTACCTGTATATGAATGATGTTTTTGTGGATCGAATCACTTTCAATGTTAGCATTCTTTTACCTTTAATAGCTGAACACGCATAATACATACGAATCCCATCTCCAGCTAAGGGGTTAAATTGACGGTCACATAAATACAAATTCAATTGAGGTTAAATTATTGACTTGAAACCAGCGATGTTTTCTGAGCTTATTTTGACAAATTTGGGCCAAACTGAATGCTTGTAACGAAATATTATTTCAAAATTCTGCTTTTATCAATATTTGAAACAAAAGCAATCGTATTTTAATGTTTTGTCTAAATCGTAGCTAATGCCCTTTTAACTAGTAGCTAGGTAGTTGTATTTTATTTTAAAGGTTTTTAATACAGTCTTGCTTACCTGAAGGAATTAGAAGTATGTCATCTGAATTCACAATCCTTACTCCGTCAGTTGCATGGCAGACATAATATCCTAAGTCCCCTTGTTCTACTGAATTTATAGTCAATGACGGAGACTTTACGTTTCCTTCAGATAATCTAGCAGTCATCATAATTATGTTGTTGTTTTTAAGCCACTTTACTTCTGTTGCAGTGCCTAAAGTAATCGAACACTGCAAAGTGACTCTAGACCCAATTGATGCTGAATATTCTGTTACTGGTACACTTACAGCTAGTGGTGCTACAAAGGTAATTAATATACAAATGTATTTCAATTAAAGAAAAATCTGATTTATTGTTATTATCACTTTTGATAATCACTTTCGACATTAAATTAAAATGATAAGAATATCAAATCTTTGGTTTGTTGATAAAAAAATAAAGGCAACTTTTATTTCAGTGTGAGGATATATTAGAACGGTTAAACAAAGATCATTGTTTTAACATTTTCTACAAAAATGCATTGATTAACTCAAATATTAAACAATTGACACAATATTAAAGAAGTTAATTAATTCTATTTGTTTTGATATGTACGAAACTTACATTTGAGGACATCAACCCTAGATCTATTACTTATTCCCTTGCCGGCATCATTGATTGCAAAACATGCATAATAAGCGTCATCTGCTAATGAGATATCATTAATGGTCAAATGCGGATATTCCAATGAATTGTCCACGTGATATTTGCCATTACTATTAGCCACAACTATTGTTACTGTTGAATAACCATCTAAAGATGTCCTTTGCCAACCAACAGTGGAGGCAGTTGGTAATGACGTGATATAGCACTTGATTATTATCTTTGAGGTATCCTCGAATGGAAACTGTATTTCTGGTGTCACAGTTACAGATGGTATATCTGTGAAATATATATATATATACTATACTATACTTTTGAATCAAATTGTGGTAGTGATACTTATTTGAATTGATATGAAAAATTATTAATTCAAACTGATATTAAACTGAATATCGGACAAGTGTTTTTTCTACAAATATGAATATGTAATTATAAACTGCATATGAAATCAGTGAAAAATAACTAAAAGTTATCTTTGAGAAGGATTTAATTTCTCTTACCCATTTCCATCAATTTCGACTAAGTGGACAAACGCAAAAACTTCCGTCTTCTTTTCAAATACAGTGTTGGCATAAGAGACAATAAGACATTTTCTTTGGTGAAGATTATAATACAATATTTACTGTTGTTCTCCAATTTTTGACATTTTTACCTATTATGTCTGTTTCTTTTGCTGACACATTTTTATCAATATAATGGAATTTTATGCGACTGTCATACAAGTGAGAGGTTTAGCTAGCTATAAAACCAGGTTTAATCTACTATTTTCTACATAAGCAATTGTTTGTACCAAGTCAGGAATGCGACAGTTATTTTCCATGTGTTTGATGTGTTTGAGCTTTTGATTTTGTCATTTGCTACGGGACTTTCCGTTTTGAACTTCGCTTGGACTTCGTTATTTTACTTTTTATTTTTGTATATTTATATTACAGCAATCACAGGAAGCGTACTGATAATCGATTCAAAGAAGGATCGTTTAGATGCATTGATGGAATGGACAATTGCTTTGAACTGTTGATTTTATAATGTGGTAATAAGTGATCGACATTTCCACAGTGGTTTAAGTCTTGTAGGGGAGTCATTTTCATCTATTTATAAATGTTTATTTTGAATGATTTTTTTATTTCCAGCCGATATGATGTTTTCATTCTTAAAAGATTCTCATTAAACACGAGAAAGCCTAGAGGCTTTATGATAGATAATGAAACCCCAATTTTTGACATTTTTTCCTATTATGTCTGTGTCTTTTGCTGACACATTGTTACACACCTTTCTACATAAGGAAATGCCTGTACCAAGTCAGGAATATGACAGTTGTTTTTCATTCGTTTGATGTGTTTGAGCTTTTGACTTTGCCATTTGATAAAGTACTCCGTTATGAATTTTCCTTGGAGTTCGGTATTTTTGTTATTCTACCTTTTATCTAAACATCAAGGATGTGATGAATGTGGGTCATTATTTTAATTAGCTGTAAGACTTTGAGGGTTTAATTTCTCTCTCATATCCCACTCATATCTAAACTCACAAGTCATATACATTTACTATATTAAATTTCTTTAAAAAAAAGCGCGGGGAGAACGATATTTTGAATTTTATACCATTCTAGTAATCACCCATGCATGAAATCTTTTATTTCTTTTTCAGGTTTTTGGAGCGATTAAGAACTATGCATATTGCGTCGTGACCACTTGTCTATTGTTCAAAGACTATGTGTTGACCTCTAGACTTCTTTTGAGTTTATATTTCGATTGGATACTGGTTCATTGACGTGTACTCCTTTATCTCCATACTTCCATATCATAATATATTGTGAAGCCCCCATAGTTCTTTGATGTATCCAGAATTGATGAATAATCATCATTTTAATGAACATCTATTGATAACTCTTGAACAATCCTGTAACTTTGATCCTTTGAAAACATTTCCAAAAAAGTTTGTTTTTTTATTAATTTGAGACTAACAATCCAATGTTTGACTATTTAATGAGTTTTATGTCAAATCATGTTTGTCTAACAATAAAAGAATTTAGGGCCATTTTCTGTTTTAAGGTTGATTCAATAATTTGCAAATTTCAGAAATATCTTAAGCATTACCGAATACTTGTTATTTGACATTAAACGATACATTTTTTTTGGGTAAATTTTCAGTATATGAACTTATAGTTTAATGAATGTCATTATCTTGAAAACTTTGACATATACTATTTGAATTTTGTTTTACTCTTAGTTTATGTTTAACTATTTGGTTCTCAACTTTATAATAGTACATTAATCACTAAAAATATAAAGAAAAACATGACTTACCGATAGTAACATTTATTCTTCCGTAATTACTTTGTCCTGTTCCAGCCTCATTTGTTGCAAAACAAATATAGTCAGCTTGATGAGAAAATGCTATATTGGTGATGGTCAAATGGGGATTAACCATTGAATCGGCCATTTGATAGCTCTCATAATGATGTTGTGAATCTATTTCTTGTGAAGTACCGTCAATTAATGAAACCTTTTTCCAGCCAACTGATGTAGCGACAGGTGATGACGACACGGTACATTGGATTACAATTGTTGAAGTACCATAACGTGTAGCCTGATATGGTGTCACCACTATTGAAGGTTTGTCTGTCAAATGTAAAAATATTGATGGCAATATATCTTTTTTGTGGCATGGTACATAAATGTATTACATAGTAACAACCACTCTAATGAACTTATTTGATATCAAAGAATCTTTTGTAAAAAAAACTTTTACTTTGGTCCAATAAGTTTTTTTTTTTTTATTATTTTCCCCTTGTCTCAAAACCCAATTATGGATGAAATCAATTACAATTTTGAACTGAAATCATGATACTCTTTTGCTTCGCCATACAGAACTTTGAGAAAAAATAATCCATATTTGCTTCTAACTCAAGGCCTGATTTTCGAGAGGATCTTCAGATATGTCTTAAGATACATCTTAAGACAAATTTTATGAATATCTTAGTTTTATCTTATGACAGTCGCAGTTGTATTCCTCTAGCGGTAGTAGACTGTCATGGTTTATGCATATGTTGTTGAGAACTGTTACACCTACGGTTATGTCACATCTTTTAGCAGCTTTGTACAGAAGTGTTTCAGCACTATTGTCAATGCATCTGAACTTTCACTTAAGCAACCCAAAGATTCTTTCAACATCACTTCTTCTCCTTATATGTGCTCTATTCTAGCGTTCCTCAGATTTCGTACTTGCATTTATCACTCAGGTCGTCAACTATGACAGTAATAGATGATACGTGAGTGTTACTTTGTAACAATGTTCACAAACTTCATGTTTGAATCACAATCTGCCTCAACAGTATTGGAATGTTAGTTTTCTTTCTATTCACAGAGATATATTTGTATTATTATGAAGCTTTTATATAGATGTGTGTTCTATTAATGGCATCGACTACATTTAGGAAACCTCTGATATCTCTCTAACATGATTTGATATGATACAGAAAAAAAAAAGGATTTTGCAGATGCCTTACAACTCAAATATCAGTGAAAGTACATATCTACACAAAATTTGTTCATCATCCACATAATCCAATGGGATATTTCGGATCACTCTGTTTCGGCGTGCCTTTTCAGCTCGCTATCGAATGTGCACGTAAACTTCAGCCATGTTCGTTTTACGTTATTTGGTTACTTTTATGATATTCTTTAGACCATCATAACACATGTACATGTAATGAGGTCTTTAAAGATAACCATAACAATAAGTACAGATCTTTACTTTAATACACTAGCTTTCGAAAGCATATCTTAAGACTAAGACGTGTCCAAATACCGCCTAAAGACCTTTCTTACTCCTTAAATACTTTCGAAAACATGGCTCCATGATAACTATTATAGTTACGCTTTAATACCAGCATTTAAAACATATAATCTTAATTTTTCGTTTAGATTTTTTCTAGTCCCCCCTGAAAAAAATAGTATTCTATGCACTACTTTGTTAAAATATTCTGTTAAAATTTATAGCATTTTGTCTAGCGCCCTAGACCTGTCGGCCAACTAGGTTGTATAAATATAAAGCTTTCGTTGGTCGAGTAATGCCTTTCGTCGTCGGCTTTATCTTGGGTTGTAACACAGTACATGATGTACAGTGGCAAGTAGGATGGTGTTAATTTCAGATCATCTATGCTTCGTCTGTAAATACCATGCCGTCACATCAAATTATAATTTTGTTATATACGTCTAAACATGTGACAACTGTACGACAGACGTTCTCAATAGGGTAACCTGTGTTTGTACAGGGCTAACACCATAATATAAATATAATTAGTCTCAAATGTAGCCCAACAAAGTTAGATTGTTGTCTCTTCCATCAACGGGATTCGAACCCCTGCTTCTGTGACATCGTGGCAACACCGCCTTCACTGTGTCCAGATATGTTTTCTGTTTGGTAATAAATTATTAATAAGATTTATTTTGTTACATCTTGTGATCCGTTTATTTGACAATCGCCAATGGCAGTCAGTAGGGTTTAAGAACATTAGTTGTTCGACCTGCTAGTCAAATGCGTTTTGTTAAAATATACTTTTTCACTCATTTGGTCTTTTGGAAAATGTTGTTTGTGCTGTATTTAGACCCCTCTACCAAGAAATTTGTTTTGCATGCACACGTATAAAAATTGCGGTTTTTATCCAACGCAATCATAGGTTTGAACGTTGTTTTCAATTCAGACTTGCATATATACATTTATATATATAGAAAAAGCATAAGTGTACTGTTAAATACAAAGGATTGCGCGATCTGATATTATGGCGTTGTTCGGCATAATTTCAAATAAGTAAGTAAGATATTGTGGAGTAGCATTCACCAACAGATATATTCTATACCAAGGTATCATTTAGTATAATGATTATGTTATCTTTTTTCTGTACTGATTTTGATTACACCTTTTGTTATTCTACTGATTGATATAACAAATGGGAGGTTTAGAACTTTGTTAAACAATTCAAGATGTTCAAATGCCAGTCCCAATTTCAAGACAGTATTCCCGTCAGTTGTTGTCTTAAGTCATATTTTGGAAAGTGTGTTCTGTCATGTCGGGAATTTGCTGTTTGTTATAGATTTGTATTGTTCCGGTGTAATTTATTTACAACTTTTCTACACTGTCGCGATGTAGAGCTTGACATATTCTTTAGACAATATCATAATATGTTGACTTCTTTCTACCTTTTAGATTGTTGCGTGATCTAATTGAGGTAAACCAAATAACTTCAATCTTTCAATGCATGAGATATTTTCCATTGGTCGTTCTGCAAAACTACAATGAATCCACCTTTTTATTCATACTTACTCCCTTGACAGAATACATGGACTAACAGAACATTCCAAACAAGCCACGTAACCATGATAGCATTCACTCTGAACATATCATACAGCTGCTTCTAAATTTATGATAATTTTCATCTGAAATGATCCGTTATGCAACATTATCAAATAAAAAGATACATAACAAATAATTCTTTTCAGTAAAAAATAATAAAAATTTTAAATTTAAAAAAAAAAAAAAAATGAAAGCAATATTAAAAAAATTAGATATGAAGAAAAATATGATACAAATCGTGTTTCTTACTCCTACAAATAATTTATAAATTCTCGTTGTTCTCAAATATAACACCCTTACATAGAACACGAACCTATATGTTTAGTTTGTCAATCTTAAAGGATCAAAATGAACTAAAGATTTCATTTTTTTACTGGACCACGACTGAATTTTATAGATAAAAATATGAACAATTTATATAACGTTTAAAAAATATCTAACTATGGAAAACCATAATGGACATTTTCAAGTGCTTTTGAATACAAAATATATGCAATAGACTACCGTGGTTCGCTTAAATGACAGTGAGACTTTCTTGATCTTTCATGTCTGTAAAATTTGGGTTACAGTAGGGGTTTATTCACGGTTCTCCAACATTTGAAAATCCAACTCATGTTCATCCAATAAGTGTCAAAAAATAGATGGGCTTGGCGTTTATATAGCAAATAAAATTGTTGTCTTAAGAAATTATAATGATACCTGTATACAACGTATAATATAATTTTCACATTATAATACTTTTTTAATAATAAATGTAAAATAATAAATAAACTCAGAAAAATTCAAAATAAATTGGATATGTTATAAAAGGTCTTCTAAATAAAATACTGATCAACTTCCAAATTAAATCTAAAATAAAAATATTTAATTTATTTCCAAAAATATGGAGATGTGGTATGATTGCCAATGAGACACCTATCCACCAAAGTTCAAATTAAGTGGATGTAAGCAATTATAGGCAACCGTACGACCTTCAACAATGAAAACCCATACCGTATAGTCGTCTAAAAAGCCCCGACATGAAAAATATTAAAGAATTCAATTGAGAAAACTAACGGCCAAATATATAACAAAAAAATTTACGAAAAACATATATAACAGATATGAACCAACGACAACCACTGAACTACAGACTCCTGACTTTGGATAGGCACATAAAGAATGTGGCTGGGTTGAACATATTTGTGAGCGCTCAACATTCCTCCTAACCTAGAACAGTGTTGTTACAGCACAACATAAAAACAAACTATAAAAATCAGTCGAAAAAGACTTAACTCACCGGATCGATACAAAGCAGAAAAACATCTAACAAAAACACATACCGGATATGGCAGGGTATTACATATTATGACAGCTTGTAAAAGGTTTTTGTTTAACAATTTTGGAGTTACAATAAAAAAATAAAAGTATCGTTCCGCATCTTTAGTCTGACTCTTTCTTCTTATCTTATGAACACCCATTTCAGCTTGGTAAAGATTTCAAAGAGACACATCTCATTGAGCCGGTACATTTACGTAATACTCGAGTCTGAATGCTATCTAAACAATGTTTAGTTGAAAAACTTATGAATTATATATTCCACAACCATACTCAATTTTTCGTCCAGTCAAATATACATATTTTTTTTTGTAAGTGTAGGGCTGGTTGCACCCCATCTGGTTTCTGTAAGGAATGTCATACAATTTATAACTTTCTTGCACTTTATTTGTAAATTTTGAATATGTTTATGCAAAGTTCAGTTCCGGTCAAAATGTGTCCTTAACAGATGATTTTTGATAAAAGGGGCCCGGGGCCCCAAAGTAAGCAACGTTTGGAATGGGACATGTAAAAAGTCTATGCATTAACGATATATGGGCACTCTGCCCCCTCCTTAATCCACCTCTGCTAAAAACTATTTCCATGTGCCATTCCAAACGCTATGACTATCATTATTTTTATGTTATCAAATTTTTGTTACTAGTACTTTTAACTAAGAAAATATGAATATCGAATAACCAATAACGAACCGGCTGCCAAGTACCGGAAATCAGGTTGTCTGCATAATGATATTGTAAAATATCAGCTGCGAGTCACAATATGAAGTTTTTTTGTCGAGTGAGCGCAAATTGTGTCGAGCAGCTGATATTGGGTTGTATTTGTGTATTTGCATGATAGAAACAAGTATTTTCTTTGTTTCACCAGCAAACCGGAAGATGACGTGATAATTTTGGATCAAACTTATCAACGTCGGTTCATTCATTACGACGTCGGTAATATGTCCGGATCAAAGTTATTACGGCCAGGTCAACGTATTTGACGTCACAAAGCCGTGATATGCAATTTTAAGAAGAACTGAGCAGAGTGATACAGACAGTGGGAACATCGATAACTAATAATACATACATAGTCAAAATGACAAAATCTGACTTCTTGCATAGCAGGAGACGCTTACCTATTGACGCAACCGGTCTCGCTCCCAATGGAGTTCATGCGATTCCCTCAGTTTTTGTTTAATTTGATTTGTCTCTTCCTTATCTATTTTACGAGATTTAAACATCGGTAATCTACTGTCGCCTTAATTCATCAGATAGTAATGAACTAATATATATATTACACTACTGTAAGAGCCATTTAAAGGTAATATTAATACATGATGCATGAAATTTTGTATGCTTTCAAATTACTGTGTTCTCTAATACTTATTTGTCGATGTTGAAATAAAAGTAATTCAGATAATGGTTACTTAATAACTTTTGTATTAATCTAGCGACACAAATCCATACCTGGTCACGATGTTCTTTTCATTTTTGACTGTATCTTTTCCGAATGAATGCATTTTGTTTCTTTAAATAGTTTTTTTTAACAAAGCTATTATATTGTGAATAACAATGAGAATAAAATTATAAATGATGGGAGGAGAAGCGGATACAAATGTGAACTGTAGTGTGCAGATGTGACATGTCCCATGACCTCTTGGATTGATGAAGAGGCCAGTGCGTTTTCATTACATTCTATTATTTATTTGAGGTTACGTACTTAGAAAGAGTACATGCATGACCTATAGTTGTGTTAAAACTTCTATGTTATTGGTCTTTGGTGGAGAATTGTCTCATTGACAATCATACCACATATTCCTAGTTTAATATAATCATAAATCTTAAAGAAAATTTTATTTTACGAATATTTATACGAAAAAGTCATTTAACTTTAGCATTCTATTATTTGGCAAAACCATGGCTAAATAAAGAGAGGAACAGGCAAACATTGTTCAATAAAAGATTACCTAGAAAACTAAACATTACAGAACTTACCCCACCACCCACCCCTTTAGTACCTTGTATGCTCCGGGAGGAGACTTCATAGCTCTTGCTCCGAGCTTATCTCGTGTTTACAAAAAGAAAACCCATAAAACACGTATAAACACATCAGATTTAGCTTATTTTTAGCACAATTGCATTTTAACAGTATCATTTCATTAATTTCCATTTTCGTTTTTGTCTTTGAATATATGATTACTTTCCCTGAAGTGAATATTTCTTCCTACAATGAATTCTAATATAGATTTGGAACCAATTGATTCTTCTATGAACATTCAAACGGGTGGTTTTATGATGTAAATGTAATATGCTGGAATTGTCAGGAGAAAATGCCAGTCCAAGTTTGAAATATATTTGGCTATCCTACAATTGCTTCCACTGTACGATAACTATTGTTTCTCCAAATTATCAGGATTATGCATTTGTATGTCCGTCCGTTCGGTTTGGTTTATGATAGTTTGTGGTCACTTCAACTTTGTACACATATGTATCATGATAAGAACCGTTTAATATAGATGCAAATTTAGAATTTTGACCAAGATACCAGAGTTTACTGAACATGGAAATATACAAGGTTAAAGTTTTGTTTTAGATATTTTGTGAGCACATCAATTTGAAACTTAGTACAAATGTTCATTGATCAGTAAACTGATTGATATATATTCCAAAAGGTGTCTTCCTGGAGTCTACATTTTCTAAAATATCTATTCCTCGATTGCCAACAAAATAAATTGAATAGATGTTGTTTCAGGTAATTGGTGTTGTTTTAGATCCCAATTTAGTTATTAATAAAAGGGTAGTTTAAAGGGCTTATTCTCATTTCGCCTTAGCTGTCAAAATAATTATATAAAATTAATCCCAGTTTGCCTTAGTACAAATTTTCAGGTACACAAGAATTAACTAAGGCGAAATGGGAGCTTCTGTAAACAACGTAATTAAGTTATGTTTTGTTTGTATTGCAATTAGTTGATATTTGTTATTTTGATGTCAAATTCTACCATGAAATACTATTTAAAAGAAGATATTTTTTTTTTGATTTTTTGTGTCCCACTTTTAAAATATTTTTTTTTATAGTTGCTCTTCTTTTTCTGAAATTGTATTTTTTTACTCATGTGTTATATTTTGTAAATAAAGTCTTATTAGATATGACAAATTGGATATGGATGTTTCATATTTTAATGAATAAATAAAGACAAATATCAAACTATCATAACAAATATTTTATTTCTGAATCAGCACTGAATTCAAAGCACAATGTTATAAATAATAGCATGAGAATAAGCACTTATACATAAAACATAAGAATTATTTCCATATAGTTCATATTTTGAAAAACAAGGCACTGATGTACACATTTGAATGTTCAAAGTTCATTTAGTTTCCAAGTTTGAGGATGTAAGATGCTGCATCACCATACTGAATATAGTCAGTTGTACCATTGTGTAGGGTTTCCTTCAAATTGGCGAATCTTTCTTCTATTTCTCTATACTTCTTTGCTTTCCCCCTCATCTTGCCACCTGCTGCATACTGTACTTTCTTTACCTCGTTAGATGCTTGCTCTTTCTTGAACACATTGATAATTTCAAATATGTTTGAAACATGGCTGTCCCAACAAATGCATGAATGGTGAAAATGCTGTCAAACATTGGTGGTGCTGTGTAGAAAGTTCCATCACAGTATACAGTGTCTGCAGTGCACAGTTGTCGTAGATTTTCAGCAGTTGTAAATATGAGTAGCTTGTTGATGTCACCATCATCAGCTTGTAGAAATGGTTCTCTACTTGTGGTCTGGCGAAATTTTCTTTATTATATATAATTAACACAATTAAAAATTTTTTTTTATTATTTTATTTATTTTATTAAAATTTCTGTCATATATGTAAATAAATCTGTGGGAATGTATTTTTTCTCTTTCTTTTTAACTTTTTGTGTTGCACAATGTAAAGGATAATTGAATTATTAAGAATTTTTTAATTGCATAAAATTCATACAATCGAAACTTTTCTTAAATAAAGCATAAAAGAAGCAACTTTCCTACTGACTTATGTTTTATTGTAGATTTTTTTCTGATTTCACAATTTTTTAAATCATAAAAAGTGTCTTTTTATAAATAAATATTAAAATAATAATCCAAGAGAAAAAAAAATCCCTAATTAAATGTTGTTTATATTGTTATAAAAACACAGAGGTTTAATTTGTTTATTTAATTTTTTCATCTAAATTCACATTTCGCCTTAGTACAATTCCCATATCGCCTTAGTATTTATTTTACCTTTTTTACCTGGAATTTCCAGCTAAGGCGAAATGGGAACACACCGTTTAAAGGTAAAATTATCATAGTTTGCAAATCAAAAATATTCCTTTTTCAAAAAAAAAAAAAAAAACTTTAAATGCTACGTAATGCAATGGATTATTAAAGAACATGGTTTAAAAACTTAAACAAATAATTAAACAAAAAATGAAATAAGTTGCTTTTATAGATATTTTTTTTAAATAACGGAAATGAACCTATTTTGTTTAAAAGTAAACAGTCGAGTTTGAAATGGGACTATTCAAGCTGTAAATTTTAAATTTTTGTGTGCTGTTTTTGTTTTTGTTAGATTATGCTGAGAGAAATCTGTGGGTGACAAAAATCCTGTTGTTTCACACTTCACTTCCGCCAATAATGCGCTTGTGTCACTCGGTTTTAAAATAATGTGTATCTTTTCCGCCAAAAATTTAGTGTAAGATAAGATAAGATATTTTTATTCCAATTAAAGGGCCCATGCAGAGCAAAGTAATTTATTAAAATGATTTTGATAATTTTGATAATCATATACAAATATGAATATAATCATCTCAATTCTAAGATCTTAAAGAAAACAGCCAGAGCAGAGCCATAAGCATATAAGTAAAAAGCATAACAGTTATATATAATATTAACAGGCAAATATTCTTAATGGGTTAAACATATCTGTACTATATACATTTTTTTTTATAGTTTTCTGAGTTCAAAACATCTATTAATATAAATTGCAATAATTTTCAACACCTCTCGGTTTTCTTGATTAAAAAGCCAATTAATTACACTAATGCGTAGATAAAATATTTTTTTAAATTTTACACTATAGACTTCATAGCTGTTTTTTTTAGAAAAATACCAAAAAAATGGAGTTCAAGCACGTGACGATTCGACTTAAATGAACCATCAGCAAATACATCTTATGCATCCCAATATAAAAGTTTCAAAGAATCTCAAATCAACAATCATAATCATACTTTTCATATCATTAGATAAAACGAAGTTGTTAATACTACAAGTTCTTGTATTTTTCTGAAATTCTTTTAATTTTTTTCGTCTGAGGTAGATACAGTTTTCTTTCAATCAAAGCAGTAATGCAGTGCTCATCTGTTTAACAATAATACCTTATACACACCCTTTGGCAAAATTGATCTTAGATGGATTTGGCTAATATTTTAAGATCCGTTTTGGTCACAAAGATCTTCAACTGTTTCGGTTTTATACATTCTTGGCTTTCAAATATCCGGCATATCAAATTAGGGCTCTGACCATCATTTCATTGTTCACTAAACATGGAAATAAAATTGTGCTGCAGCAAAAGCGAGGTATCGTGTTCTTCAGACATAAATTGTTATTCCATTTTAGAAATCAAAAAATTTTGAAAAAAAAACAAGTCATCATTTGAAATGGCGTTTTCCAGAAGAAAGAGTGGATTGATATTGACAATCACATTATTCGCTCGAAACACTTGGATTTATATTATGGTCCAGTAGCATAATTCGATAAATGTTAAAAAATTAATAAAAACATATCATGTTTCACGAAGGTCAATAAGACAGCAACCCAACCTCACCTAAACAAACTTGAGGTTACTTACTGTTCTCAACAAATACAGCTCTTATAAATCACCCTAAATCTAAAAACAAAATGGAGGAAATTAAACAGATACCATCGTAGACCTGCCACTAACACCAAATTCTTTAAATCATATAAAAAAAAAACAGAAGAAAAAAAACTCCAAAGAAACACATTTTGATCTGACGAAGACAACCACTGACGTTGTTCCTAACTTGGGACACGGATATGTTCATGTTGCGTAATAATGATAATTCTGGAGATCTTGATCCCTCCCATGTTAATCGCTACCAGTAGACGTATAAAGGGTGTGTATATACAAGAACAATCATATAAAAATCTATACTTTCAGGAAACTGAAAAGCTTCACTTTAGATTAACGGTATAAGAAATAACAAATTTAATCTCAATACAATTTAAATCAATAATGAGAAATACTGTATCACAGAATGTTCTCAGTTACTGAGAACAAGCTCACGGTTCTTAAACTGCTGACATTAGAACATGCTGTCATACATTTTAATATCCAATCAAAACCATTTGAATTTTAAAATCTTCTGTAATTAAACGCAGTTTCAATTAATTACAAAAAAAGCTGAATGAATAAAAAATTAGTAAAACCCTATTTGGTTAAAAAAAAAAAAGGATTTTATGCCCGCCATATATTTTCTTTCTCGCTGCCCCTACGTAAAATTGGGACATTTTCTCTGTTGCAGTCTGTTTTCTGTAGATATTAACAGTCACCTTTTAAACAGTATCTATCAATAAACAATACCATTTTATTGTAGTGCACTTCTTGCTTTTCATCGAGGTTTACTGCAAATTTGCATCAACATAACATTTTATATTAATGTAATAAAGACGAAGATTTGATTTTCCAAATTTTCAAACTTTAAAAGAAAAAAAACATGCATACATCTATAAATGGTACCTACCTGTAATTTCAAAGGTTGATAGATTGAATGAATATGTGAACTTATTCAAACAGGAAGTTTCACGGGTAGTCAACTTTCAAAATATTCCTATTTTCCTCGAGAAAAGTAATATGAGTAGCAAACTATTTTGATATATTGTGATTGTTAAAAAAATGCGGCTTTTAAAATTTTATGTCATGCAATAGTGGTGAAAATGATAGATACATTGTAAATAATCAACTTTAATCTTTTGTTTAAACCTTCAGTCTTTACAGTCAACTATATTTAAAAAATGTTTAATTGGAGATCAGGTTGAAATTTGATAAGCTTAAACCGTATCTAATATAACTGTACTAGTTTAATAGTGATTAATGATAATGAAAGTGTTGTTATAAATAAAATAATTTTCGATTTTGATTTCATTTGAATGCTATACAGACGCAAATATTCTGCAATAGCCAGATTGTAAGGCATAAATAAAAGAAAATCTATAATATGAATGTAATTTTCAATTTGTAGCAATTTTAAATCCTAAACGAGCGGTTAAGATAATGTTCTTAAAGATGTGGGTTCTTTTTATAAAACTTTAATCTAGCTGAACTTAATTTATTTTCCGTTTCTCCGTACCTCTTGTTCCAATGTTCGAGAATCAATTGTAAAATGGGAAGAGTTGAACACTCACTTAAACAGTTATAACTTTCTGCTTAAAGTCATATAATATTTCTAATATACAAAAATGTAACTAATTTTACATGGTTTAAAAATATAATTCTTTGTCTTGTCAAAATCTTCAAAAATGTACTTCAAGCATTCACATTTGCCGACAGCTTTTCCGTTTGAATTGATCTAAACCATGAGCCCTCTCGTTAGAACTTCAGCAATCACACAAAAGGAAACGAATGGAAAATAATAATAAAAAACAAAAACAAATGCACAACGCTCTACCTTCTCACTTATTTCTCACGTGCTCTGTGATTCTATGTTGATTGTTTAACTTTGTCACCAAAACCCGAAAGTTAAGTAGCAACCATAATTTTCTATAAACAATCACAGAATGACATATTTTTTGACGATTATACGTAAAATGATTTGTCGGTATTTTCCACCTAGAGAAGATGGGCATCACTTATAAAAACCGTTTTTGTTAAATTGTATGGATAAGAGCAAAAACAAAACAAAACAACATGAAAATAGGGAATAATAGTTAAAAAAATCAAATAAAAATGAATGTAAATATATATATATTTTCGAAATTAAAATAGGGGGATCCATGCTCAAAGTGCTTGTGATTTTGATGGCGGGACATATTTTTTTTGTAGTTGTTTAAAGAAATGGGGATTAAGAAATAACTTTAAATATTCATCTGTTTGCAGTAGGTAAAGGCATTTTGCAGAGGAATGCAAACAGCAAGTGTAAAAATATCGTTTTTCACTAATCAGGAAGTTGAATGTTGAACTTCCAAAAAGCAATTACGATTAACACGAAAAAAAAAGAAATATAAGAACATCAAGAAGTTTACTGGGGTGTCAAATATAATTCTAACACTATAAATAAAAGTAATGTTATGTTTTAAACCGGTTTTTAACCTTGGTTACACAATAGTGATATTAAGGATAACATCATTGTGAAATTATGACCGTTTGTACACATTGTATTTAAACGAGATGCCTAGATGTAATGTGAGACTTCACTACAAAATTTAACAGCATGTGAAATGTTTGAAGTAAATAGTGAATTTACATTCGAATAAGGTTACTTGTTTTTTGTTTTTTTCATTTCATCTGCATTATAACTGTTTTTAAAATGCAATTTAGTTAGGTTGTATCGAATATCTTCACACAGCTGTTACAGTAAATAGAAAGATATCCTTCATAAACCTATTTTTGACATTCGATTTTTAAATTGCTAAATATTCACGAAATTAGAAAATAAACAATATAATTTGATAACGTGAACTTTATTTAACAAAAAATATATACACAAACATATCTCTGTACCGTTGCCAATCTTGTCACGTGATTCAAGTCAATTTACGTTTGAAGGATTAAATATTCAACCACTATGTGTAGATGGCAATATTTAAAAAGAGGGGCCGATACCAAGTGGACAAAACAAAGACAGACAATAGAGTAGAAAAATAAATAAGACAAGCATAAAAATAATTCAAGGAAAACCATACCAGAAAAAATAAAGATCAAGCAGCTAGAGCTCCATCCAAAAACTGGACTCATGCCTCATCTAGACACAAAATTATGTGTCAAAAATACAAGGTTAAATTCTGTCCTTCCTAAGGGAATGTGAAAAGTTTTCAAGGCACGGAACTTGTGCACAGTGAAAAACATATGAGATCATTCTTAACTTAAATCCTGTCTTGCTGTTCATTTCTAATGATTTCAATTACTATATATCTATTATAGTTTTTCAGATATTAGACAAAACATCTGATAATTTCGACCAAGTCAAATTATTTGTAGATCTTGTCTTGTTGATTATTTGTTCTATTAAAAGTTTCTCTCTATTTATTATGATCGTCAATTTAATAGGCACCTAGATACCTTAATGATGATTGTGGCCAACTTTGGTTAAATTCGGCCCAGTAGTTTCAGAGGAGGAGATTTTTGTAAAAATTAACGACGACGGACGAGACGACAACGGAAGAGACAACGACGGACGAGAAGTGATGAGAACAGCTCACTTGGACCTATTGTCTAGGTTAGCTAAAAAGGTGAGTTTACACCCTATTTAATATAAAATGATACCAAATTTTAAAAAATAGGTTTCAGCAATGTTCATCTATTAAATGAATTTTTATGTGCATTTCATATTTTCTGTAATCTTTATATTTTTGAACACGACACATAACTATTGTAGGTGACTGGATTCACATCTGTTTTCGTAATTCACTTTTCTTCAAGAAAAACCAAAGATTTAAATCAATTATAAATTACTGTACATAGGTTTATCTTTGATTTTATTAAATTTTCTGAAAATAAAGCTCAGATTGTTATTGATCCTTCTTACTTTAATGATTTTAATTCATTTTATAATTTGTGTTTTATTTAGATAGAAGTTTAATATGTATTTCATGCTTTATTCAATAATCTTTCGCTCTAAACACGTACTAGAAAAAAAACTAAATGTGAAAACTAGTGAAGCTGGAATAACAGAAAAGCAACTGTTCAAGTTGTTTACGTCGGTAATCATATACTGAATATTTCGATAGCACACTAGTACTTAAAAAAAACTTTGTTTAATTTATTCATTGGTTATTTGTTTTCATCATCTCTTCAGTACTGACCATGGCTTTATTTTGATATACGTTTATACGCATTTCTAGCTAGCACTATCATTGCTCTAGCACTATCTTTGAAAAAAGGTCATTTGTGCTCGATCAACAAGTGTTCTTTGGCATGATTGACTGAACCGAAAATACATAGAAGTAGTCAATTCAACAAATAATACAGCACCATTCTCAAAAATGAAAGATCTTTAAATCTTATCTGCAAAAAGGGATCATACTCCGACAATCTCGCTAAGGAAATGACCTCTTGATACATTAGATTAAGAAAGTAAGACGACAGCATCCATTATCAACCTACATCTAAATCCGGAAACTCTATTATCAACTCCACTTTATGATTTATTAATAACGACAGCGAGAAAACTGAAGCTTTTTATCTTTATTTGCCTCGCAGTTAAATATGTTGGATGACGTTATGTCGGCTTTTTAGCTGACGATACTATTTCCGGGATCTGTTTTGACAATATTAAACATACTTTTTATGGTTTAAGTTAAATGAGTGAAATACAATTAAAATTGATTCTTTCATACAAGTTAATATTTTGACGGTGTTTTCCATAAAGGAGTACTATTCTTTTTTAACTGGAAGGTATTATAACTGGGAATCTTTATATTGGCTGACAACTGTACACTAAGCAAATATAATACTGGTGTTACAAGGATCGATTTCGTTTACTTTGTTATTAAGGTCTTTCCACTCCGTTAGGAAAGACCTTATTGTAAAGGTCTTTCCACTCCGTTAGGAAAGACCTTATTGTTTTTCTAATGTTTTTTTTTTTTCTTTTTTTTTTTTTTTTTTTTTAAGGTCTTTCCACTCCGTTAGGAAAGACCTTATTGTTAAGGTCTTTCCACTCCGTTAGGAAAGACCTTATTGTTTTTCTAATGTTTTTTTTTTTTCTTTTTTTTTTTTTTTTTCTTTTTCTTTTTTTTTTTTTTTTTTTTTTTCTTTTTTTTCTTCCAACATTTTTTTGGGAATGCCCTCCCCCCGTTTCTGTTAAAGTTATCAAGACCAAATATGGACCATCGATAGACATCATCATGAAGTATTACCACATGACCCTGTTAAGGATTTCATCATCCCCTGTAGAAGTAATCACCCTTTTATTGGATTTTTTCAACATGGCCCCCCTTCGTTGTTTTTGAAGATATCATGACCTTATTTTGACAATAGGTTGATATCATCATGATGTACTACCATATGAGGCTGCATAGGATTTCATCATCCCCTATGCGAGTTATATCCCCTTGAAGCGATTTCTTTCCTTTGCATTTTTCTCAAAAAGTATTAGAGATAGAATCGATTTGAAAACGGCAACATATACAGGAACTGATGGCAATGTTAATGAACATATAAAATAATTTTGTTATTGACCCTTATAAGGAGTTATTTCTCTTAAAAAAATATACACAATTTTTGAAAAATTGTATTTCGAGAACCGTAAGTCGTAGAGACTTGGGACCTACACCAATAATCTTAAGTTCATGTGACCTTCAATTTGCACCCAAGGTCAAAGGTCACAGAGTGCAACAAAATTTTACGCTGCAATTTCAAGCTTGCATATTAAGAAAACGATAAGAGTTTGCTGCATACATACTGTGTATAAAATGTTCCTCTCGACGAGCTCTACATTTTATACATTAAGCTCAAAAATGTCCGACCGTCTGTTCAAAAGTTACATTAACATAATTCTTAAAACTATAGTAACATATGTATATCTTTTAAAAGGTAACAGATATCAACCTACTATAAACTGCAAAGATGATCAGTAATTCAAGGCCTTCAATTTGAGGTCAATGTCAGGTCATGATGAAATTTAACCTTGACCTTCAGAGTGTACTATGACCTTGACCTTGTGACATTTGAAAGGTCAAGTGGTCTTGAGTTGAATGGTGGTAGTCCCATGTCTCTACGACTTCCGGTTCTCAAGTTTGATATTGCATCATATATTTGATAATTCATTGTGACCTTGATGAACTTTGGAATTGTCCAATTTTTTTTCTAAAATGTTGTCCTTTTACTGTAGATCATTTTTCTTTTAACAAATTTGAGATACCTGTTGTCGTTTAAGAGATAATGCACTTTGAAATTTTGCGAGCGGAGGCATGTATTTCTGAATCAACAACAGGTAACCACCTGAAATTATAAGAAATTGAAGAGTTTAACATGGTTATATGTTTGACCAAATACCAAAAACATTCAATGAAAAAAAAACCAAAAAATCAATTTGAAATTTTCATGTTTTGCATTGACTTTGTAAGTTTCATAAGTTCTATTTATATAATTGATATTGCATCATTTTTGGCACTTTGCCAAATGGGGTCATTTGATATATCAAATTGAAGGTCTTAACGAGCTCTACTCAAAAATGAAAATGTAAAACCCCCTTTTCATCCCAGGGGGAAGGGTGGGGTCATTTAGTGCAAAAAATTAAAACTTCTCAGATGGTTAGGTTGTCGCATATCAAATGAAAGTCCATAAAGCGTACATTTCAAATATCAAATTGACGTCCCCAAAAAATGGGTTGGTTGGGGTCATTGAGTGCAAAAAATATAATTTTCTTTTAAGGTAAGGTTGTTGTATTTCAAATGAAAGGTCGTAACATGTACATTTCAAATATCAGATTCCTGTCCTCAAAAAATAAGTTGGATGGGGTTATTAAGTGCAGAAATCAAACTTTCTAGAACATGGCGTTGTTGCATATCAAATGAAAGATAATCAAGTCTACATTACATATATCATACTTCCGATATCAAAAATGTAGGCGGATGGGGTCATTAAGTGTAAAAGTGAAAATTTTTAGAAGGTATGCTTGTCGTATATCAAATGAAAGGTCTTAAAGAGTACATTACAAAAACATCACTTTTGCAGGAAAGACCTTTCAATTGTTTTTCAAACAATTGAGATACTAGTTTTTTTTTTTTTTTTTTCTTTTTTTTCTTCCAACATTTTTTTGGGAATGCCCTCCCCCCGTTTCTGTTGAAGTTATCAAGACCAAATATGGACCATCGATAGACCTCATCATGAAGTATCACCACATGACCCTGTTAAAGATTTCATCATCCCCTGTAGAAGTTATCTCCCTTTTATTGGATTTTTTCGACATGGCCCTCCCTCGTTGTTTTTAAAGATATCATGATTTTATTTGTACTAAAGGTAGATCTCATCATGATGTATTACCATATGAGGCTGCTTAGGATTTCATCAACTCCTTTGAGAGTTGCATCCCCTTGAAGCAATTTCTTTTATTTGCATTTTTCTTAAAAAGTATAAGAGATAGAATCGAATTGAAAATTGCAGCATCTACAAGAACAAATGGCAATGTTAATAAACATAAACAATTAGTATGTTATTAACCCTTATACGGAGTTATTTCCCTTGAAATATTTTACTCAATTTTATATAAATTGTATTTCGAGAACCGGAAGTCGTAGAGACTTGGGACCTTCACCAATAATCTTTATTTCATGTGACCTTTAACTTCCACCCAAGGGCAAAGGTCACTGAGTGCAAAAAAAATTTACACTGCAATTTCAAGCTTACATATTAAGAAAACGATAAGAGTTTCCTGCATACATACTGTGTATAAAATGTTCCTCTCGACGAGCTCTACATTTTATTTATTAGGCTCAAAACTGTCCGACCGTCTGTTCACAAGTTACGACGAGATAATTCTTAAAAGTACAGTACTGTGTGTATATCTTTTAAAAGGTAACAGATATCAACCTACTATAAATTGTAAAAATGATCAGTAATTTAAAACCTTCAATTTGAGGTCAATGTCAGGTCATGATGAAATTTTACCTTGACCTTCAAAGTGTACTATGACCTTGACCTCGTGATATTTGAAAGGTCAAGTAGTCCTGAGTTGAATGGTGGTAGTCTTATGTCTCTACGACTTCCGGTTCTCAAGTTTGGTATTGCATCATATATTTGATGATTCCTTGTGACCTTGATGAAATTTGGAATTGTCCCAAATTTTTATACAATGTTGCCCATCAACTGCAGATCATTTATCATTTAACAGATTTGAGATATCTATTGTTGTTTTAGAGATAATGCAGTTTGAAATTTTGCGAGCGGAGGCATGTATTTCTGAATTAACAACAGGTAACCACCTGAAATTTTCAGAAAGTGAAGAGTTTAACATGGTTATATGTTTGACTTATTACCAAAAACAATACAACGAAAAAAAAACCCAAAAAATCAATTTGAAATTTTCATGTTTTGCATTCACTTTGTGAGTTTCATAAGTTCTATTTATACAATTGATATTGCATCATTTTTGGCACTTTGCCAAATGGGGTCATTTGATATATCAAATTGAAGGTCTTAATAAGCTCTACTCAAAAATGAAAATTATAAACCCCTTTTTCATTCCAGTGGGAAGGGTAGGGTCATTTAGTGCAAAAAAATCAAACTTCTCAGATGGTTAGGTTGTCGCATATCAAATGAAAGTCGATGAAGCGTACATTTCAAATATCAAATTGACGTCCCCAAAAAATGAGTTAGGTGGGGTCATTGAGTGCAAAAAATAAAATTTTCTTTTAAGGTAAGGTTGTTGTATATCAAATGAAAGGTCGTAACGTGTACATTTCAAATATCAGATTCCTGTCCTCAAAAAATGAGTTGGATGGGGTTATTAAGTGCTAAAATCAAACTTTCTAGAACATGGCGTTGTCGCATATCAGATGAAAGATCATCAAGTCTACATTACATATATCATACATCCGATCTCGAAAATTAAGGCGGATGGGGTCATTAGGTGTAAAATGCGAAAAGTTTCAGAAGGTATGCTTGTCGTATATCAAATGAAAGGTCGTACAAAGTACATTACGAAAACATCACTTTAACAGGAAAGACCTTTCAATTGTTTTACAAACAATTGAGATACTAGTTTTTCTAATGTTTTTTTTTTTTTTCTTTTTTTTCTTCCAACATTTTTTTGACCTGCCCTCCCCTCGTTTCTATTAGAGTTATCAAGACCAAATATGGACCATCGATAGACCTCATCATGAAATATTACCAGATGAGGCTGTTAAGGATTTCATCATCCACTTTAGAAGTTATCTCTCTTTTTTTGTATTTTTTCAACATGGCCCCCCTTCGTTGTTTTTTAAGATATCATGACCATATTTGTACAATAGGTAGATCTCATCATTATCTATTACCATATGAGGCTGCGTAGGATTTCATCATCCCCTTTGAGAGTTATATCCCCTTGAAGCAATTTCTTTTATTTGCATTTTTCTTAAAAAGTATTAGAGATAGAATCGAATTGAAAATGGCAGCATGTACAAGAACAGATGGCAATGTTAATAAACATAAACAATTAGTTTGTTATTAACCCTTATAAGGAGTTATTTCCCTTGAAAAATTATACACAATTTTTGAAAAATTCTATTTCGAGAACCGGAAATCGTAGAGACTTGGGACCTTCACCAATAATCTTTAATTTATGTGACCTTTAATTTGCACCCAAGGTCAAAGGTCACTGAGTGCAAAAAAAATTTACGCTGCAATTTCAACCTTACATATTAAGAAAACGATAAGAGTTTGCTGCATACATCCTGTGTATAAAATGTTCCTCTCGGCTAGATCTACATTTTATACATTAAGCTCAAAACTGTCCGACCGTCTGTTCAAAAGTTACGACGAGATAATTCTTAAAAGTATAGTACTGTGTGTATATCTTTTTAAAGGCAACAGATATCAACCTACTATAAATTGCAAAAATGATCAGTATTGTAAGACCTTCAAATTAAGGTCAATGTCAGGTCATGATGAAATTTTACCTTGACCTTCAAAGTGTACTATGACCTTGACCTTGTGATATTTGAAAGGTCAAGTGGTCTTGAGTTGAATGGTGGTAGTCCTATGTCTCTACGACTTCCGGTTCTCAAGTTTGGTATTGCATCATATATTTGATGATTCATTGTGACCTTGATGAACTTTGGAATTGTCCCAAATTTTTTCTACAATGTTTTCCTTTAACTGCAGATCATTTATCATTTAACAGATTTGAGATATCTATTGTAGTTTTAGAAATAATCAAGTTTATAATTTTGCGAGCGGAGGCATGTATTTCTGAATCAACAACAGCTTTCCACCTGAAATTTTCAGAAATTGAAGAGTTTAACATGGTTATATGTTTGACTAATTACCAAAAACTTTCAAAGAAAAACTCAAAAAAAAAAATCAATTTGAAATTTTCATCTTTTACTTTGACTTTGTAAGTTTCATAAGTTCTATTTATATAATTGATATTGCATCATTTTTGGCTCTTTGCCAAATGCGGTCATTATGTATATCAAATTGAACGTCTAAATGACCTCTACTCAAAAATGAAAATTTCAAACCCCTTTTTCATCCCAGAGGGAAGGGTGGGGTCATTTAGTGCAAAAAATTCAAACTTCTTAGATGGTCAGGTTGTCGCATATCAAATGAAAGCCAATAAAGCGTACATTTCAAATATCAAATTGACGTCCCCAAAAAATGGATTGGGTGGGGTCATTGAGTGCAAAACATTAATTTTCTTTTCAGATAAGGTTGTTGTATATCATTAAGGTCTTTCCACTCCGTTAGGAAAGACCTTATTGTTTTTCTAATGTTTTTTTTTTTTCTTTTTTTTTTTTTTTTTCTTTTTCTTTTTTTTTTTTTTTTTTTTTTTTTTTTTTTTTCTTCCAACATTTTTTTGGGAATGCCCTCCCCCAGTTTCTGTTAAAGTTATCAAGACCAAATATGGACCATCGATAGACATCATCATGAAGTATTACCACATGACCCTGTTAAGGATTTCATCATCCCCTGTAGAAGTTATCCCCCTTTTATTGGATTTTTTCAACATGGCCCCCCTTCGTTGTTTTTAAAGATATCATGACCTTATTTTGACAATAGGTTGATCTCATCATGATGTACTACCATATGAGGCTGCATAGGATTTCATCATCCCCTATGCGAGTAATATCCCCTTAAAGCGATTTCTTTCCTTTGCATTTTTCTCAAAAAGTATTAGGGATAGAATCGATTTGAAAACGGCAACATATACAGGAACAGATGGCAATGTTAATGAACATATAAAATAATTTTGTTATTGACCCTTATAAGGAGTTAATTCTCTTAAAAAAATATACACAATTTTTGAAAAATTGTATTTCGAGAACCGTAAGTCGTAGAGACTTGGGACCTACACCAATAATCTTAAGTTCATGTGACCTTCAATTTGCACCCAAGGTCAAAGGTCACAGAGTGCAAAAAAAATTTACGCTGCAATTTCAAGCTTGCATATTAAGAAAACGATAAGAGTTTGCTGTATACACACTGTGCATAAAATGTTTCTCTCGACGAGCTCTACATTTTATACATTAAGCTCAAAAATGTCCGACCGTCTGTTCAAAAGTTACATTAACATAATTCTTAAAACTATAGTAACATATGTATATCTTTTGAAAGGTAACAGATATCAACCTACTATATACTGCAAAGATGATCAGTAATTCAAGGCCTTCAATTTGAGGTCAATGTCAGGTCATGATGAAATTTAACCTTGACCTTCAGAGTGTACTATGACCTTGACCTTGTGACATTTGAAAGGTCAAGTGGTCTTGAGTTGAATGGTGGTAGTCCCATGTCTCTACGACTTCCGGTTCTCAAGTTTGATATTGCATCATATATTTGATAATTCATTGTGACCTTGATGAACTTTGGAATTGTCCAATTTTTTTCTAAAATGTTGTCCTTTTACTGTAGATCATTTTTCTTTTAACAAATTTGAGATACCTGTTGTCGTTTAAGAGATAATGCACTTTGAAATTTTGCGAGCGGAGGCATGTATTTCTGAATCAACAACAGGTAACCACCTGAAATTATAAGAAATTGAAGAGTTTAACATGGTTATGTGTTTGACATAATACCAAAAACATTCAATGAAAAAAAAAACCAAAAAATCAATTTGAAATTTTCATGTTTTGCATTGACTTTGTAAGTTTCATAGGTTCTATTTATATAATTGATATTGCATCATTTTTGGCACTTTGCCAAATGGGGTCATTTGATATATCAAATTGACGGTCTTAACGAGCTCTACTCAAAAATGAAAATGTAAAACCCCCTTTTCATCCCAGGGGGAAGGGTGGGGTCATTTAGTGCAAAAAATTAAAACTTCTCAGATGGTTAGGTTGTCGCATATCAAATGAAAGTCCATAAAGCGTACATTTCAAATATCAAATTGACGTCCCCAAAAAATTGGTTGGGTGGGGTCATTGAGTGCAAAAAAAAAATTTTCTTTTAAGGTAAGGTTGTTGTATTTCAAATGAAAGCTCGTAACGTGTACATTTCAAATATCAGATTCCTGTCCTCCAAAAATAAGTTGGATGGGGTTATTAAGTGCAGAAATCAAACTTTCTAGAACATGGCGTTGTTGCATATCAAATGAAAGATAATCAAGTCTAGATTACATATATCATACTTCCGATATCAAAAATGTAGGCGGATGGGGTCATTAAGTGTAAAAAGTGAAAATTTTTAGAAGGTATGCTTGTCGTATATCAAATGAAAGGTCTTAAAGAGTACATTACAAAAACATCACTTTTGCAGGAAAGACCTTTCAATTGTTTTACAAACAATTGAGATACTAGTGTTTTTTTTTTTTTTTCTTTTTTTTTTTTTTTTTTTTTTTTTTTCTTTTTTTTCTTCCAACATTTTTTTGACCTGCCCTCCCCTCGTTTCTATTAAAGTTAACAAGACCAAATATGGACCATCGATAGACCTCATCATGAAGTATTACCAGATGACCCTGTTAAGGATTTCGTCATCCACTTTAGAAGTTATCTCCCTTTTATTGGTTTTTTTCAACAAAGCCCCCCCTCGTTGTTTTTCAAGGTATCATGACCTTATTTGTACTATAGGTAGATCCCATCATGATGTATTACCATATGAGGCTGCGTAGGATTTCATCATCCCCTTTGAGAGTTATATCCCCTTGAAGTAATTTCTTTTATTTGCATTTATCTTAAAAAGTATTAGAGATAGAATCAAATTGAAAATTGCAGCATCTACAAGAACAGATGGCAATATTAATAAACATAAACATTTAGTTTGTTATTAACCCTTATAAGGAGTTATTTCCCTTTAAAAATTATACACAATTTTTGAAAAATTCTATTTCGAGAACCGGAAGTCGTATAGACTTGAGACCTTCACCAATAATCTTAAATTCATGTGACCTTTACTTTGCACCCAAGGTCAAAGGTCACTGAGTGCAAAAAAAATTTACGCTGCAATTTCAAGCTTACATATTAAGAAAACGATAAGAGTTTGCTGCATACATACTGTGTATAAAATGTTCCTCTCGACGAGCTCTACATTTTATACATTAAGCTTAAAAATGTCCGACCGTCTGTTCAAAAGTTACATTAACATAATTCTTAAAACTTTAGTAACATGTGCATATCTTTTTAAAGGTAACAGATATCAACCTTCTATAAACTGGAAAGATGATCAGTAATTCAAGACCTTCAATTTGAGGTCAATGTCAGGTCATGATGAAATTAAACCTTGACCTTCAGAGTGTACTATGACCTTGACCTTGTGACATTTGAAAGGTCAAGTGGTCTTGAGTTGAATGGTGGTAGTCCCATGTCTTTACGACTTCCGGTTCTCAAGTTTGATATTGCATCATATATTTGATAATTCATTGTGACCTTGATGAACTTTGGAATTGTCCAAATTTTTTTTTTAAATGTTGTCCCTTCACTGCAGATCATTTTTCTTTTAACATATTTTAGATATCTGTTGTCGTTTTAGAGATAATGCAGTTTGAAATTTTGCGAGCGGAGGCATGTATTTCTGAATCAAGAACAGTTTACCACCTGGAATTTTCAGAAATTGAAGAGTTTAACATGGTTTTATGTTCGACCAAATACCAAAAACATTCACTGAAAAAAAACCCCAAAAAATCACTTTGAAATTTTCATGTTTTGCATTGACTTTGTAAGTTTCATAATTTCTATTTATACAATTGATATTGCATAATTTTTGGCACTTTGCCAAATGGGGTCATTATGTATATCAAATTGAACGTGTGAATGAGCTCTACTCAAAAATGAAAATTTCAAACCCCTTTTTCATCCCAGTGGCATGGGTGGGGTCATTGAGTGCAGAAAATAAATTGTCTTCTAAGGTAAGGTTGTTGTATATCAAATGAAAGGTCATAATGTGTTGATTTCAAATATCAAATTCCTGTCCTCCAAAAATGTGGTTGATGGGGTTATTAAGTGCAAAAATCAAACTTTCTAGAACATGGCGTTGTCGCATATCATATGAAAGATCATCAAGTCTACATTACATATATCATACTTCCGATATCAAAAATGTAGCCGGATGGGGTCATTCAGTGTAAAAAGTGAAAATATTCAGAAGGTATGCTTGTCGTATATCAAATGAAAGGTCTTAGAGAGTACATTACAAAAACATCACTTTTAGAGGAAAGACCTTTCAATTGTTTTACAAACAATTGAGATACTAGTCTTTTTCTTTTTTTTTTTTTTTTTTCTTTTTTTTCTTCCAACATTTTTTTGGGAATGCCCTCCCCCCGTTTCTGTTAAAGTTATCAAGACCAAATATGGACCATCGATAGACATCATCATGAAGTATTACCACATGACCCTGTTAAGGATTTCATCATCCCCTGTAGAAGTTATCCCCCTTTTATTAGATTTTTTCAACATGGCCCCCCTTCGTTGTTTTTGAAGATATCATGACCTTATTTTGACAATAGGTTGATCTCATTATGATGTACTACCATATGAGGCTGCATAGGATTTCATCATCCCCTATGCGAGTTAAATCCCCTTGAAGCAATTTCTTTCCTTTGCATTTTTCTCAAAAAGTATTAGGGATAGAATCGATTTGAAAACGGCAACATATACAGAATCTGATGGTAATGTTAATGAACATATAAAATAATTTTGTTATTGACCCTTATCAGGAGTTATTTCTCTTAAAAAAATATACCCAATTTTTGAAAAATTGTATTTCGAGAACCGTAAGTCGTAGAGACTTGGGACCTACACCAATAATCTTAAGTTCATGTGACCTTCAATTTGCACCCAAGGTCAAAGGTCACAGAGTGCAAAAAAAAATGTACGTTGCAATTTCAAGCTTGCATATTAAGAAAACGATAAGAGTTTGCTGCATACATACTGTGTATAAAATGTTCCTCTCGACGAGCTCTACATTTTATACAGTAAGCTCAAAAATGTCCGACCGTCTGTTCAAAAGTTACATTAACATAATTCTTAAAACTATAGTAACATATGTATATCTTTTAAAAGGTAACAGATATCAACCTACTATAAACTGCAAAGATGATCAGTAATTCAAGGCCTTCAATTTGAGGTCAATGTCAGGTCATGATGAAATTTAACCTTGACCTTCAGAGTGTGCTATGACCTTGACATTGTGACATTTGAAAGGTCAAGTGGTCCTGATTTGAATAGTGGTAGTCTTATGTCTCTACGACTTCCGGTTCTGAAGTTTGATATTGCATCATATATTTGATAATTCATTGTGACCTTGTTGAACTATGGAATTGTCCCAAATTTTTTTATACAATGTTGCCTTCCAACGGCAGATCATTTATCATTTAACAGATTTGAGATATCTGTTGTCGTTTAAGAGATAATGCAGTTTAAAATTTTTCGAGCGGAGGCACGTAATTCTGAATCAACAACAGTTTACCACCTGAAATTTTCAAAAATTAAAGAATTCAACATGGTTATATGTTTGACTAAATACCAAAAACATTCAATGAAAAAAAAAACCAAAAATTCAATTTGAAATTTTCATGTTTTGCATTTACTTTGTAAGTTTCATAAGTTCTATTTATATAATTGATATTGCATCATTTTTGGCACTTTGCCAAATGGGGTCATTTGATATATCAAATTGAAGGTCTTAACGAGCTCTACTCAAAAATGAAAATGTTAAACCCCCTTTTCATCCCAGGGGGAAGGGTGGGGTCATTAAGTGCAAAAAATTCAAACTTCTCAGATGGTTAGGTTGTCGCATATCAAATGAAAGTCCATAAAGAGTACATTTCAAATATCAAATTGACGTCCCCAAAAATGGGTTGGGTGGGGTCATTGAGTGTAAAAAATAAAATTTTCTTTTAAGGTAAGGTTGTTGTATTTCAAATGAAAGGTCGTAACGTGTACATTTCAAATATCAGATTCTTGTCCTCAAAAAATTAGTTGGATGGGTTATTAAGTGCAAAAATAAAACTTTCTAGAACATGACGTTGTCGCATATCAAATGAAAGATAATCAAGTCTAGATTACATATATCATACTTCCGATATCAAAAATGTAGGCGGATGGGGTCATTAAGTGTAAAAAGTGAAAATTTTCAGAAGGTATGCTTGTCGTATATCAAATGAAAGGTCTTAAAGAGTACATTACAAAAACATCACTTTTACAGGAAAGACCTTTCAATTGTTTTACAAACAATTGAGATACTAGTTCTAATGTTTTTAAGGTCTTTCCATTCCGTTAGGAAAGACCTTATTGTTTTTCTAATGTTTTTTCTTTTTTTTTTTTTTTTCTTTTTTTTCTTCCAACATTTTTTTGACATGCCCTCCCGCCGTTTCTGTTGAAGTTATCAAGACCAAATATGGACCATCGATAGACCTCATCATGAAGTATAACCAGATGACCCTGTTAAGGATTTCATCATCCCCTTTAGAAGTTATCTCCCTTTTATTGGGTTTTTTCAACATGGCCCTTCGTCGTTGTTTTTAAAGATATCATGACTTTATGTGAACAATAGGTAGATCTCATTATGATGTATTACCCTATGAGGCTGCGTAGGATTTCATCATCCCCTTTGAGAGTAATATCCCCTTGAAGCAATTTCTTTTATTTGCATTTTTCTTAAAAAGTATTACAGATAGAATCAATTTGAAAATGACAGCATGTACAAGAACAGATGGCAATGTTAATAAACATAAACAATTATTTTGTTATCAACCCTTATAAGGAGTTATTTCTCTTGAAAAATTATACACATTTTTTGAAAATTTCTTCTTCGAGAACCGGAAGTCGTAAAGACTTTGGACCTTCACCAATAATCTTTAATTCATGTGACCTTTAACTTACATCCAAGGTCAAAGGTCAATGAGTGCAAAATAAAATTACGCTGCAATTTCAAGCTTACATATTAACAAAACGATAAGAGTTTGCTGCATACATACTGCGTATAAAATGTTCTTCTCGACGAGCTCTACATTTTATACATTAAGCTCAAAAATGTCCGACCGTCTGTTCACAAGTTACAACGAGATAATTCTTAAAAGTATAGTATTGTGTGTATATCTTTTTAAAGGTAACAGATATCAACCTAATATAAATTGGAAAAATGATCAGTATTTTAAGACCTTCAATTTGAGGTCAATGTCAGGTCATGATGAAATTTTACCTTGACCTTCAAAGTGTTTTATGACCTTGACCTTGTGACATTTGAAAGGGCAAGTGATCTTGAGTTGAATGGTGGTAGTCCCATGTCTCTGCAACTTCCGGTTCTCAAGTTTGGTATTGCATCATATATTTGATGATTCATTGTGACCTTGATGAACTTTGGAATTGTCCCAAATTTTTTTACAATTTTGCCCTTCTACTGCAGATCATTTATCATTTATCAGATTTGAAATATCTGTTGTCGTTTTAGAGATAATGCAGTTTGAAATTTTGCGAGCGGCAGCATGTATTTCTAAATCAACAACACGTAACCACCTGAAATTTTCAGAAAATGAAGAGTTTAACATGATTATATGTTTGACAAAATATCAAAAACATTCAATGAAAAAAAAAACAAAAAAAATCAATTTGAAATTTTCATGTTTTGCATTGACTTTGTAAGTTTCATAAGTTCTATTTATACAATTGATATTGTATCATTTTTGGGACTTTGCCAAATGAGTTGGATGGGGTTATTAAGTGCAAAAATCAAACTTTCTAGAACATGGCGTTGTCGCATATCAAATGAAAGATCATCAAGTCTAGATTACATATATCATACTTCCGACCTCGAAAATCAAGGCGGATGGGGTCATTAAGTGTAAAAAGCGAAAAATTTCAGAAGGTATGCTTGTCGTATATCAAATGAAAGGTCGTACAAAGTACATTACGAAAACATCACTTTAACAGGAAAGACCTTTCAATTGTTTTACAAACAATTGAGATACTAGTTTTTCTAATTAAGGTCTTTCCACTCCGTTAGGAAAGACCTTATTGTTTTTCTAATGTTTTTTTAAGGTCTTTCCACTCCGTTAGGAAAGACCTTATTGTTTTTCTAATGTTTTTTTTTTTTCTTTTTTTTTTTTTTTTTCTTTTTCTTTTTTTTTTTTTTTTTTTTTTTCTTTTTTTTCTTCCAACATTTTTTTGGGAATGCCCTCCCCCCGTTTCTGTTCAAGTTATCAAGACCAAATATGGACCATCGATAGACATCATCATGAAGTATTACCACATGACCCTGTTTAGGATTTCATCATCCCCTGTAGAAGTTATCCCCCTTTTATTGGATTTTTTCAACATGGCCCCCCTTCGTTGTTTTTGAAGATATCATGACCTTATTTTGACAATAGGTTGATCTCATCATGATGTACTTCCATATGTGACTGCATAGGATTTCATCATCCCCTATGCGAGTTATATCCCCTTGAAGCGATTTCTTTCCTTTGCATTTTTCTCAAAAAGTATTAGAGATAGAATCGATTTGAAAACGGCAACATATACAGGAACTGATGGCAATGTTAATGAACATATAAAATAATTTTGTTATTGACCCTTATAAGGAGTTATTTCTCTTAAAAAAATATACACAATTTTTGAAAAATTGTATTTCGAGAACCCTAAGTCGTAGAGACTTGGGACCTACACCAATAATCTTAAGTTCATGTGACCTTCAATTTGCATCCAAGGTCAAAGGTCACAGAGTGCAAAAAAACTTTACGCTGCAATTTCAAGCTTGCATATTAAGAAAACCATAAGAGTTTGCTGCATACATACTGTGTATAAAATGTTCCTCTCGACGAGCTCTACATTTTATACATTAAGCTCAAAAATGTCCGACTGTTTGTTCAAAAGTTACATTAACATAATTCTTAAAACTATAGTAACATATGTATATCTTTTAAAAGGTAACATATATCAACCTACTATAAACTGCAAAGATGATCACTAATTCAAGGCCTTCAATTTGAGGTCAATGTCAGGTCATGATGAAATTAAACTTGACCTTCAGAGTGTACTATGACCTTGACCTTGTGACATTTGAAAGGTCAAGTGGTCTTGAGTTGAATGGTGGTAGTCCCATGTCTCTACGACTTACGGTTCTCAAGTTTGATATTGCATCATATATTTGATAATTCATTGTGACCTTGATGAACTTTGGAAATGTCCAATTTTTATTCTAAAATGTTGTCCTTTTACTGTAGATCATTTTTCTTTTAACAAATTTGAGATACCTGTTGTCGTTTAAGAGATAATGCACTTTGAAATTTTGCGAGCGGAGGCATGTATTTCTGAATCAACAACAGGTAACCACCTGAAATTATAAGAAATTGAAGAGTTTAACATGGTTATATGTTTGACCAAATACCAAAAACATTCAATGAAAAAAAAAACCTAAAAATCAATTTGAAATTTTCATGTTTTGCATTGACTTTGTAAGTTTCATAAGTTCTATTTATATAATTGATATTGCATCATTTATGGCACTTTGCCAAATGGGGTCATTTGATATATCAAATTGAAGGTCTTAACGAGCTCTACTCAAAAATGAAAATGTAAAACCCCCTTTTCATCCCAGGGGGAAGGGTGGGGTCATTTAGTGCAAAAAATTAAAACTTCTCAGATGGTTAGGTTGTCGCATATCAAATGAAAGTCCATAAAGCGTACATTTCAAATATCAAATTGACGTCCCCAAAAAATGGGTTGGTTGGGGTCATTGAATGCAAAAAAATAAATTTTCTTTTAAGATAAGGTTGTTGTATATCAAATGAAAGGTCTTACCGTGTACATTTCAAATATCAGATTCCCGTCCTCAAAACATTAGTTGGATGGGGTTATTAAGTGCAAAAATCAAACTTTCTAGAACATGGCGTTGTCGCATATCAAATGAAAGATAATCAAGTCTAGATTACATATATCATACTTCCGATATCAAAAATGTAGGCGGATGGGGTCATTAAGTGTAAAAAGTGAAAATTTTCAGAAAGTATGCTTGTCGTATATCAAATGAAAGCTCTTAAAGAGTACATTACAAAAACATCACTTTTGCAGGAAAGACCTTTCAATTGTTTTACAAACAATTGAGATACTAGTAATATAAATGTTTTTTTTTAATTATTTTTCCTCTGTGAAATATCATGGAAGTACTACTTGTATATAAACATAATTATTAGTAGTTAAGGTCTTTCCACTCCGTTAGGAAAGACCTTATTGTTTTTCTAATGTTTTTTTTTCTTTTTCTTTTTCTTTTTCTTTTTTTTTTTTCTTTTTTTTCTTCCAACATTTTTTTAACATGCCCTACCCCCGTTTCTGTTGAAGTTATCAAGACCAAATATGGACCATCGATAGACCTCATCATGAAGTATAACCAGATGACCCTGTTAAGGATTTCATCAACCCCTTTAGAAGTTATCTCCCTTTTATTGGTTTTTTCGACATGGCCCCCCCCTCGTTGTTTTTTAAGATAACATGTCTTTATGTGGGCAATAGGTAGATCTCATTATGATGTATTACCATATGAGGCTGAATAGAATTTTATCATCCCTTTTGAGAGTTATATCCCTTTAAAGCAATTTCTTTTATTTGCATTTTTTTTCAAAAGTGTTGGAGATAGAATCGATTTGAAAATGGCAGCATGTACAAGAACAGATGGCAATGTTAATAAACATAAACAATTATTTTGATATTAACCTTTATAAGGAGTTATTCCCCTTTAAAAATTATACAAAATTTAAAAAAAATTCTATTTCGAGAACTGGAAGTCGTAGAAACTTGGGACCTTCACCAATAATCTTTAATTCATGTGACCTTTAATTTGCATCGAAGGTCAAAGGTCACCGAGTGCGAAAAAAAATTACGCTGCAATTTCAAGCTTGCATATTAAGAAAACGATAGGAGTTTGCTGCATACATACTGTGTATAAAATGTTCCTCTCGACAAGCTCAACATTTTATACATTAAGCTCAAACATGTCCGACCGTCTGTTCAAAAGTTACATCAAGATAATTCTTAAAAGTATAGTATTGTGTGAATATATTTTAAATGGTAACATATAACAACCTACTATAAACTGCAAATATGATCAGTAATTCATGACCTTCAATTTGAGGTCAATGGCAGGTCATGATGAAATTTTACCTTGACCTTCAATGTGTACTATGACCTTGACCTTGTAACATTTGAAAGGTCAAGTGGTCCTGAGTTGAATGGTGGTAGTCCCATGTCTCTACGACTTCCGGTTCTCAAGTTTGGTATTGCATCATATATTTGATGATTCATTGTGACCTTGATGAACATTGGAATTGTCCTACATTTTTTTCTACAATGTTGTACTTCAACTGCAGATCATTTATCATTTAACAGATTTGAGATATCTGTTGTCGTTTTAGAGATAATGCAGTTTAAAATTTTGCGAGCGGAGGCATGTATTTCTGATTCAACAACAGCTTTCCACCTGAAATTTTCAGAAATTAAAGACTTAAACATGGTCATATGTTTGACTAATTACCAGAAACTTTCAATGAAAAAATCAAAAAAAAAATCAATTTGAAATTTTCATCTTTTACATTGACTTTGTAAGTTTCATATGTTCTATTTATATAATTGATATTGCATCATTTTTGGCACTTTGCCAAATGCGGTCATTATTTATATCAAATTGAAGGTCTTAATGAGCTCTACTCAAAAATGAAAATTTCAAACCCCTTTTTCATCCCAGTGGGAAGGGTGGGGTCATTTAGTGCAAAAAATTCAAACTTCTCAGATGGTTAGGTTGTCGCATATCAAATGAAAGTCCATAAAGCGTACATTTCAAATATCAAATTGACGTCCCCAAAAAATGGGTTGGGTGGGGTCATTGAGTGCAGAAAATAAATTGTCTTCTAAGGTAAGGTTGTTGTATATCAAATGAAAGGTCATAATGTGTACATTCCAAATATCAAATTCCTGTCCTCCAAAAATGAGTTGGATGGGGTTATTAAGTGCAAAAATCAAACTTTCTAGAACATGGCGTTGTCGCATATCATATGAAAGATCATCAAGTCTACATTACATATATCATAATTCCGATATCAAAAATGTAGGCGGATGGGGTCATTAAGTGTAAAAAGTGAAAATTTTCAGAAGGTATGCTTGTCGTATATCAAATGAAAGGTCTTAAAGAGTACATTACAAAAACATCACTTTTACAGGAAAGACCTTTCAATTGTTTTACAAACAATTGAGATACTAGTTCTTTTTCTTTTTCTTTTTAAGGTCTTTCCACTCCGTTAGGAAAGACCTTATTGTTTTTCTAATGTTTTTGTTTTTTCTTTTTTTTTTTTTTTTTTCTTTTTCTTTTTTTTTTTTTTTTTTTTTTTCTTTTTTTTCTTCCAACATTTTTTTGGGAATGCCCTCCCCCCGTTTCTGTTGAAGTTATCAAGACCAAATATGGACCATCGATAGACCTCATCTTGAAGTATTACCACATGACCCTGTTAAGGATTTCATCATCCCCTGTAGAAGTAATCTCCCTTTTATTGGATTTTTTCGACATGGCCCCCTCTCGTTGTTTTTAAAGATATCATGACCTTATTTGGACAATAGGTAGATCTCATCATGATGTACTACCATATGAGGCTGCATAGGATTTCATTATCCCCTATGCGAGTTATATCCCCTTGAAGCAATTTCTTTCCTTTGCATTTTTCTCAAAAAGTATTAGGGATAGAATCGATTTGAAAACAGCAACATGTACACGAACAGATGGCAATGTTAATGAACATATAAAATAATTTTGTTATTGACCCTTATAAGGAGTTATTTCTCTTGAAAAAATATACACAATTTTTGAAAAATTGTATTTCGAGAACCGGAAGTCGTAGAGACTTGGGACCTACACCAATAATCTTAAGTTCATGTGACATTCAATTTGCATCCAAGGTCAAAGGTCACCGAGTGCAAAAAAAAATTACGCTGCAATTTCAAGCTTGCATATTAAGAAAACGATAAGAGTTTGCTGCATACATACTGTGTATAAAATGTTCCTCTCGACGAGCTCTACATTTTATACATTAAGCTCAAAAATGTCCGACCGTCTGTTCAAAAGTTACATTAACATAATTCTTAAAACTATAGTAACATATGTATATCTTTTTAAAGGTAACAGATATCAACCTACTATAAACTGGAAAGATGATCAGTAATTCAAGACCTTCAATTTGAGGTCAATTTCAGGTCATGATGAAATTTAATCTTGACCTTCAGAGTGTACCATGACCTTGACCTTGTGACATTTGAAAGGTCAAGTGGTCCTGAGTTGAATGGTGGTAATCCCATGTCTCTACGACTTCCGGTTCTCAAGTTTGATATTGCATCATATATTTGATAATTCATTGTGACCTTGATGAACTTTGGAATTGTCCAGATTTTTTTTTAAAATGTTGTCCTTTTACTGCAGAGCATTTTTCTTTTAACAGATTTGAGATATCTGTTGTCATTTAAGAGATAATGCAGTTTGAAATTTTGCGAGCGGAGGCATGTATTTCTGATTTAACAACAGTTTACCACCTGAAATTTTCAGAAATTAAAGAGTTCATCATGGTTATATGTTTGATTAAATACCAAAAACATTCAATGAAAAAAAAACCCATAAAATCAATTTGAAATTTTATGTTTTGCATTTACTTTGTAAGTTTCATAATTTCTATTTATACAATTGATATTGCATCATTTTTGGCACTTTGCCAAATGGGGTCATTTGATATATCAAATTGAAGGTCTTAACGAGCTCTACTCAAAAATGAAAATGTTAAACCCCTTTTTATCCCAGGGGGAAGGGTGGGGTCATTTAGTGCAAAAAATTCAAACTTCTCAGATGGTCAGGTTGTCGCATATCAAATGAAAGTCCATAAAGCGTACATTTCAAATATCAAATTGACGTCCCCAAAAAATGGGTTGGGTGGGGTCATTGAGTGCAAAAAATAAAATTTTCTTTTAAGGTAAGGTTGTTGTATTTCAAATGAAAGGTCGTAACGTGTACATTTCAAATATCAGATTCCTGTCCTCAAAAAATGAGTTTGATGGGGTTATTAAGTGCAAAAATCAAACTTTCTAGAACATGGCGTTGTCGCATATCAAATGAAAGATCATCAAGTCTACATTACATATATCATACTTCCGATCTCGAAAATTAAGGCGGATGGGGTCATTTAGTGTAAAAAGCGAAAAGTTTCAGAAGGTATGCTTGTCGTATATCAAATGAAAGGTCGTACAAAATACATTACGAAAACATCACTTTAACAGGAAAGACCTTTCAATTGTTTTACAAACAATTGAGATACTAGTTAAGGTCTTTCCACTCCGTTAGGAAAGACCTTATTGTTTTTCTAATGTTTTTTTTTTTTCTTTTTTTTTTTTTTTTTCTTTTTCTTTTTTTTTTTTTTTTTTTTTTTCTTTTTTTTCTTCCAACATTTTTTTGGGAATGCCCTCCCCCCGTTTCTGTTGAAGTTATCAAGACCAAATATGGACCATCGATAGACCTCATCTTGAAGTATTACCACATGACCCTGTTAAGGATTTCATCATCCCCTGTAGAAGTAATCTCCCTTTTATTGGATTTTTTCGACATGGCCCCCTCTCGTTGTTTTTAAAGATATCATGACCTTATTTGGACAATAGGTAGATCTCATCATGATGTACTACCATATGAGGCTGCATAGGATTTCATTATCCCCTATGCGAGTTATATCCCCTTGAAGCAATTTCTTTCCTTTGCATTTTTCTCAAAAAGTATTAGGGATAGAATCGATTTGAAAACAGCAACATGTACACGAACAGATGGCAATGTTAATGAACATATAAAATAATTTTGTTATTGACCCTTATAAGGAGTTATTTCTCTTGAAAAAATATACACAATTTTTGAAAAATTGTATTTCGAGAACCGGAAGTCGTAGAGACTTGGGACCTACACCAATAATCTTAAGTTCATGTGACCTTCAATTTGCATCCAAGGTCAAAGGTCACCGAGTGCAAAAAAAAATTACGCTGCAATTTCAAGCTTGCATATTAAGAAAACGATAAGAGGTTGCTGCATACATACTGTGTATAAAATGTTCCTCTCGACGAGCTCTACATTTTATACATTAAGCTCAAAAATGTCCGACCGTCTGTTCAAAAGTTACATTAACATAATTCTTAAAACTATAGTAACATATGTATATCTTTTTAAAGGTAACAGATATCAACCTTCTATAAACTGGAAAGATGATCAGTAATTCAAGACCTTCAATTTGAGGTCAATTTCAGGTCATGATGAAATTTAATCTTGACCTTCAGAGTGTACCATGACCTTGACCTTGTGACATTTGAAAGGTCAAGTGGTCTTGAGTTGAATGGTGGTAATCCCATGTCTCTACGACTTCCGGTTCTCAAGTTTGATATTGCATCATATATTTGATAATTCATTGTGACCTTGATGAACTTTGGAATTGTCCAGATTTTTTTTTAAAATGTTGTCCTTTTACTGCAGAGCATTTTTCTTTTAACAGATTTGAGATATCTGTTGTCATTTAAGAGATAATGCAGTTTGAAATTTTGCGAGCGGAGGCATGTATTTCTGATTTAACAACAGTTTACCACCTGAAATTTTCAGAAATTTAAGAGTTCATCATGGTTATATGTTTGATTAAATACCAAAAACATTCAATGAAAAAAAAACCCATAAAATCAATTTGAAATTTTATGTTTTGCATTTACTTTGTAAGTTTCATAATTTCTATTTATACAATTGATATTGCATCATTTTTGGCTCTTTGCCAAATGGGGTCATTTGATATATCAAATTGAAGGTCTTAACGAGCTCTACTCAAAAATGAAAATGTTAAACCCCTTTTTATCCCAGGGGGAAGGGTGGGGTCATTTAGTGCAAAAAATTCAAACTTCTCAGATGGTCAGGTTGTCGCATATCAAATGAAAGTCCATAAAGCGTACATTTCAAATATCAAATTGACGTCCCCAAAAAATGGGTTGGGTGGGGTCATTGAGTGCAAAAAATAAAATTTTCTTTTAAGGTAAGGTTGTTGTATTTCAAATGAAAGGTCGTAACGTGTACATTTCAAATATCAGATTCCTGTCCTCAAAAAATGAGTTTGATGGGGTTATTAAGTGCAAAAATCAAACTTTCTAGAACATGGCGTTGTCGCATATCAAATGAAAGATCATCAAGTCTACATTACATATATCATACTTCCGATCTCGAAAATTAAGGCGGATGGGGTCATTTAGTGTAAAAAGCGAAAAGTTTCAGAAGGTATGCTTGTCGTATATCAAATGAAAGGTCGTACAAAATACATTACGAAAACATCACTTTAACAGGAAAGACCTTTCAATTGTTTTACAAACAATTGAGATACTAGTTCTTTTTTTTTTTTTTTTTTTTTTTTCTTTTTTTTCTTCCAACATTTTTTTGGGAATGCCCTCCCCCCGTTTCTGTTAAAGTTATCAAGACCAAATTTGAACCACCGATAGACCTCATCATGAAGTATTACCAGATGACCCTGTTTAGGATTTCATCATCTCCTTTTGAAGTTATCTCCCTTTTATTGGGTTTTTTCAACATGGTCCTCCCTCGTTGTTTTTAAAGATATCATGATTTTATTTGTACTATAGGTAGATCTCATCATGATGTATTACCATATGAGGCTGCGTAGGATTTCATCAACTCCTTTGAGAGTTGCATCCCCTTGAAGCAATTTCTTTAATTTTATTTTTTCTTAAAAAGTATAAGAGATAGAATCGAATTGAAAATAGCAGCATCTACAAGAACAAATGGCAATGTTAATAAACATAAACAATTAGTATGTTATCAATCCTTATACGGAGTGATTTCCCTTGAAAAAATTTACTCAATTTAAAAAAAATTGTATTTCGAGAACCGGAAGTCGTAGAGACTTGGGACCTTCACCAATAATCTTTATTTCATGTGACCTTTAACTTCCACCCAAGGTCAAAGGTCACTGAGTGCAAACAAAATTTACACTGCAATTTCAAGCTTACATATTAGGAAAACGATAAGAGTTTGCTGCATACATACTGTGTATAAAATGTTCCTCTCAACGAGCTCTACATTTTATACTTAAAGCTCAAAAATGTCCGACCGTCTGTTCACAAGTTACGACGAGATAATTCTTAAAAGTATAGTATTGTGTGTATATCTTTTTAAAGGTAACAGAAATCAACCTACTATAAATTGCAAAAATGATCAGTATTTTAAAACCTTCAATTTGAGGTCAATGTCAGGTCATGATGAAATTTAACCTTGACCTTCAGAGTGTGCTATGACCTTGACATTGTGGCATTTGAAAGGTCAAGTGGTCCTGAGTTGAATAGTGGTAGTCTTATGTCTCTACGACTTCCGGTTCTGAAGTTTAATATTGCATCATATATTTGATAATTCATTGTGACCTTGATGAACTATGGAATTGTCCCAAATTTTTTTATACAATGTTGCCTTCCAACGGCAGATCATTTATCATTTAACAGATTTGAGATATCTGTTGTCGTTTAAGAGATAATGCAGTTTAAAATTTTTCGAGCGGAGGCATGTATTTCTGAATCAATAACAGTTTACCACCTGAAATTTTCCGAAATTAAAGAATTCAACATGGTTATATGTTTGACTAAATACCAAAAATATTCAATGAAAAAAAACCCCCAAAAAATCAATTTGAAATTTTCATGTTTTGCATTTACTTTGTAAGTTTCATAAGTTCTATTTATATAATTGATATTGCATCATTTTTGGCACTTTGCCAAATGGGGTCATTTGATATATCAAATTGAAGGTCTTAACGAGCTCTACTCAAAAATGAAAATGTTAAACCCCCTTTTCATCCCAGGGGGAAGGGTGGGGTCATTTAGTGCAAAAAATTCAAACTTCTCAGATGGTTAGGTTGTTGCATATCAAATTAAAGTCCATAAAGCGTACATTTCAAATATCAAATTGACGTTCCCAAAAATGGGTTGGGTGGGGTCATTGAGTGCAAAAAATAAAATTTTCTTTTAAGGTAAGGTTGTTGTATTTCAAATGAAAGGTCGTAACGTGTACATTTCAAATATCAGATTCTTGTCCTCAAAAAATTAGTTGGATGGGGTTATTAAGTGCAAAAATAAAACTTTCTAGAACATAACGTTGTCGCATATCAAATGAAAGATAATCAAGTCTAGATTACATATATCATACTTCCGATATCAAAACTGTAGGCGGATGGGGTCATTAAGTGTAAAAAGTGAAAATTTTCAAAAGGTATGCTTGTCGTATATCAAATGAAAGGTCTTAAAGAGTACATTACAAAAACATCACTTTTGCAGGAAAGACCTTTCAATTGTTTTACAAACAATTGAGATACTAGTTCTTTTTTTTTTTTTTCTTTTTTTTCTTCCAACATTTTTTTAACATGCCCTACCCCCGTTTCTGTTGAAGTTATCAAGACCAAATATGGACCATCGATAGACCTCATCATGAAGTATAACCAGATGATCCTGTTAAGGATTTCATCAACCCCTTTAGAAGTTATCTCCCTTTTATTGGTTTTTTTCGACATGGCCCCCCCCCTCGTTGTTTTTTAAGATAACATGTCTTTATGTGGGCAATAGGTAGATCTCATCATGATGTATTACCATATGAGGCTGCGTAGAATTTCATCATCCCTTTTGAGAGTTATATCCCTTTGAAGCAATTTCTTTTATTTGCATTTTTTTTCAAAAGTGTTGGAGATAGAATCGATTTGAAAATGGCAGCATGTACAAGAACAGATGGCAATGTTAATAAACATAAACAATTATTTTGATATTAACCTTTATAAGGAGTTATTCCCCTTTAAAAATTATACAAAATTTTAAAAAAAATCTATTTCGAGAACCGGAAGTCGTAGAAACTTGGGACCTTCACCAATTATCTTTAATTCATGTGACCTTTAATTTGCACCCAAGGTCAAAGGTCACCGAGTGCGAAAAAAAATTACGCTGCAATTTCAAGCTTGCATATTAAGAAAACGATAGGAGTTTGCTGCATACATACTGGGTATAAAATGTTCCTCTCGACAAGCTCTACATTTTATACATTAAGCTCAAACATGTCCGACCGTCTGTTCAAAAGTTACATCAAGATAATTCTTAAAAGTATAGTATTGTGTGAATATATTTTAAATGGTAACATATAACAACCTACTATAAACTGCAAATATGATCAGTAATTCATGACCTTCAATTTGAGGTCAATGCCAGGTCATGATGAAATTTTACCTTGACCTTCAATGTGTACTATGACCTTGACCTTGTGACATTTAAAAGGTCAAGTGGTCCTGAGTTGAATGGTGGTAGTCCCATGTCTCTACGACTTCCGGTTCTCAAGTTTGATATTGCATCATATATTTGATGATTCATTATGACCTTGATGAACTTCGGAATTGTCCCAAATTTTTTTCTGTAATGTTGTCCTTTTACTGTAGATCATTTTACTTTTAACATATTTGAGATAACTGTTGTTGTTTTAGAGATCATGCAGTTTGAAATTTTGCGAGCGGAGGCATGTATTTCTGAATCAACAACAGGTAACCACCTGATATTTTCAGAAATTGAAGAGTTTAACTTGGTTATATGTTTGACAAAATACCAAAATCATTCAATGAAAAAAAACCCCAAAAAATCAATTTGAAGTTTTCATGTTTTGCATTTACTTTGTAAGTTTCATAAGTTCTATTTATATAATTGATATTGCATCATTTTTGGCACTTTGCCAAATGGGGTCATTTGATATATCAAATTGAAGGTCTTAACGAGCTCTACTCAAAAATGAAAATGTTAAACCCCTTTTTCATCCTAGGGGGAAGGGTGGGGTCATTTAGTGCAAAAATTTCAAACTTCTCAGATGGTTAGGTTGTCGCATATCAAATGAAAGTCCATAAAGCGTACATTTCAAATATCAAATTGACGTCCCCAAAAAATGGGTTGGGTGGGGTCATTGAGTGCAAAAAATAAAATTTTCTTTTAAGGCAAGTTTGTTGTATTTCAAATGAAAGGTCGTAACATGTACATTTCAAATATCAGATTCCTGTCCTCAAAAAATGAGTTGGATGGGGTTATTTAGTGCAAAAATCAAACTTTCTAGAACATGGCGTTGTCGCATATCAAATGAAAGATCATCAAGTCTAGATTACATATATCATACTTCCGATCTCGAAAATTAAGGCGGATGGGGTCATTAAGTGTAAAAAGCGAAAAGTTTCAGAAGGTATGCTTGTCGTATATCAAATGAAAGGTCGTACAAAGTACATTACGAAAACATCACTTTAACAGGAAAGACCTTTCAATTGTTTTACAAACAATTGAGATACTAGTTTTTTCTTTTTTTTTTTTTTTTTTTTTTTTTTCTTTTTTTTCTTCCAACATTTTTTTGGGAATACCCTCCCCCCGTTTCTGTTAAAGTTATCAAGACCAAATATAGACCATCGATAGACCTCATCATGAAGTATTACCACATGACCCTGTTAAGGATTTCAACATCCCCTGTAGAAGTTATCTCCCTTTTATTGGATTTTTTCTACATTGCCTCCTTTCGTTGTTTTTAAAGATATTATGACCTTATGTGGACAATAGGTAGATCTCATCATGATGTACTACCCTATGAGGCTGCGTAGGATTTCATCATCCCCTATGCGAGTTATATCCCCTTGAAGTAATTTCTTTCCTTTGCATTTTTCTCAAAAAGTATTAGGGATAGAATCGATTTGAAAACAGCAACATGTACAGGAACAGATGGCAATGTTAATGATCATATAAAATAATGTTGTTATTGACCCTTATAAGGAGTTATTTCTCTTGAAAAAATATACACAATTTTTGAAAAATTGTATTTCGAGAACCGGAAGTTGTAGAGACTTGGGACCTACACCAATAATCTTAAGTTCATGTGACCTTCAATTTGCACCTAAGGTCAAAGGTCAACGAGTGCAAAAAAAATTTACGCTGCAATTTCAAGCTTACATATTAAGAAAACGATAAGAGTTTGCTGCATACATACTGTGTATAAAATGTTCCTCTCGACGAGCTCTTTATTTTATACATTAAGCTCAAAAATGTCAGACCGTCTGTTCAAAAGTTACGACGAGATAATTCTTTAAAGTATAGTTTTGTGTGTATATCTTTTAAAAGGTAACAGATATCAACCTACTATGAACTGCAAAAATGATCAGTATTTTAAGACCTTCAATTTGAGGTCAATGTCAGGTCATGATGAAATTTAGCCTTGACCTTCAGAGTGTCCTATGACCTTGACCTTGTGGCATTAGAAAAGTCAAGTGGTCCTGAGTTGAATGGTGGTAGTCCCATGTCTCTACGAAATCCGGTTCTTAAGTTTGATATTGCATCATATATTTGAAAATTCATCGTGACCTTGATGAACTTCGGAATTGTCCCAATTTTTTTTCTAAAATGTTGTCCTTTCATTGCAAATCATCTTTCTTTAAACAGATTGGAGATATCTGTTGTTGTTTAAGAGATAATGCACTTTGAAATTTTGCGAGCGGAGGCATGTATTTCTGAATCAACAACAGCTTACCACCTGAAATTTTCAGAAATTAAAGAGTTTAACACGGTTATATGTTTGACCAAATACCAAAAACATTCAATGAAAAAAAAACCCAAAAAATCAATTTGAAATTTTCATGTTTTGCATTTACTTTGTAAGTTTCATAATTTCTATTTATACAATTGATATTGCATCATTTTTGGCACTTTGCCAAATGGGGTCATTTGATATATCAAATTGAGGGTCTTAACAAGCTCTACTCTAAAATGAAAATGTTAAACCCCTTTTACATCCCAGGGGGAAGGGTGGGGTTATTTAGTGCAAAAAATTCAAACTTCCCAGATGGTTAGGTTGTCGCATATCAAATGAAAGTCCATAAAGCGTACATTTCAAATATCAAATTGACGTCCCCAAAAAATGGGTTGGGTGGGGTCATTGAGTGCAAAACATAAAATTTTTTTTTCAGATAAGGTTGTTGTATTTCAAATGAAAGGTTGTGACGTGTACATTTTAAGTATCAAATTCCTGTTCTCTAGAAATGAGTTGGTGGGGTTATTAAGTGCAAAAATCAAACTTTCAAGAACATGGCGTTGTCGCATATCAAATGAAAGATCATCAAGTCTACATTACATATATCATACTTCCGAGCTCGAAAATTAAGGCAGATGGAGTCATTAAGTGTAAAAAGCGAAAAGTTTCAGAAGGTATGCTTGTCATATATCAAATGAAAGGTCTTACAAAGTACATTACGAAAACATCTCTTTAACAGGAAAGACCTTTCAATTGTTTTACAAACAATTGAGATACTAGTGTTTTTTCTTTTTTTTCTTCCAACATTTTTTTTGACATGCCCTCCCGCCGTTTCTGTTGTAGTTACCAAGACCAAATATGAACCATCGATAGACCTCATCATGAAGTATTACCAGATGACCCTGTTAAGGATTTCATCATCCCTTTTAGAAGTTATTTCCCTTTTATTGGTTTTTTTCGACATAGCCCCTCGTCGTTGTTTTTTCAGATATCATGACTTTATGTTAACAATAGGTAGATCTTATCATGATGTATTACCATATGAAGCTGCGTAAGATTTCATCATCCCCTTTGAGAGTTATATCCCCTTAAAGGAATTTCTTTTATTTGCATTTTTCTTAAAGAGTATTACAGATAGAATCAATTTGAAAATGGCAGCGTATACAAGAACAGATGGCAATGTTAATAAACATAAACAATTATTTTGTTATTAACCCTTATAAGGAGTTATTTCTCTTGAAAAATTATACACAATTTTTGAAAAATTGTTCTTCGAGAACCGGAAGTAGTAGAGACTTGGGACATTCACCAATAATCTTTAATTCATGTGACCTTTAACTTGCACCGAAGGTCAAAGGTCACTGAGTGCAAAAAAAAATTACGCTGCAATTTCAAGCTTACATATTAAGAAAACGATAAGAGTTTGCTTCATACATACTGTGTATAAAATGTTCCTCTCGACGAGCTCTACATTTTATTCATTAAGCTCAAAACTGTCCGACCGTCTGTTCACAAGTTACGACGAGATAATTCTTAAAAGTATAGTACTGTGTGTATATCTTTTTAAAGGTAACAGATATCAACCTACTATAAATTGCAAAAATGATCAGTATTTCAAAACCTTCAATTTGAGGTCAATGTCAGGTCATGATGAAATGTAACCTTGACCTTCAGAGTGTGCTATGACCTTGACATTATGACATTTGAAAGGTCAAGTGGTCGCAAGTTGAATAGTGGTAGTCTTATGTCTCTACGACTTCCGGTTCTGAAGTTTGATATTGCATCATATATTTGATAATTCATTGTGACCTTGATGAACTATGAAATTGTCTAAATTTTTTTATACAATGTTGCCCTTTAGCTGCAAATCATTTATCATTTAGCAGATTTGAGATATCTGTTGTCGTTTAAGAGATAATGCAGTTTACAAATTTTCGAGCGGAGGCATGTATTTCTGAGTCATCAACAGTTTACCACCTGAAATTTTCAGAAATTAAAGAATTTAACATGATTGTATTTTTGACTAATTAATAGAAACATTCAATGAAAAAAAAAACCAAAAAAATCAATTTGAAATTTTCATGTTTTGCATTTACTTTGTAAGTTTCATAAGTTCTATTTATATAATTGATATTGCATCATTTTTGGCACTTTGCCAAATGGGGTCATTTGATATATCAAATTGAAGGTCTTAACGAGCTCTAATCAAAAATGAAAATTTTAAACCCCCTTTTCATCCCAGGGAGAAGGGTTGGGTCATTTAGTGCAAAAAATTCAAACTTCTCAGATGGTTAGGTTGTCGCATATCAAATGAAAGTCCATAAGGCGTACATTTCAAATATCAAACTGACGTCCCCAAAAAATGGGTTGGGTGGGGTCATTGAGTGCAAAACATAAATTTTCTTTTAAGATAAGGTTGTTGTATATCAAATGAAAGGTCATAACGTGTACATTTCAAATATCAAGTTCCTGTCCTCCAAAAATTAGTTGGATGGGGTTATTAAGTGCAAAAATCAAACTTTCTAGAACATGGCGTTGTCGCATATCAAATGAAAGATAATCAAGTCTAGATTACATATATCATATTTCCAATATCAAAAATGTAGGCGGATGGGGTCATTAAGTGTAAAAAGTGAAAATTTTCAGAAGGTATGCTTGTCGTATATCAAATGAAAGGTCTTAAAGAGTACATTACAAAAACATCACTTTTGCAGGAAAGACCTTTCAATTGTTTTACAAACAATTGAGATACTAGTTTATATTTTTATTTCTATTCATCATATTTTGAATGAGGTTAATTTTCATATCAGGTTATTTAATCATAACTTCAGTATTAACGAAGTTGTCAAACATACCATTGACAACCGTTACGCCATTAAAATCTGATATTCATTGACCTAAAACAATTAGCAGTTAAAGGGTTATCTAAATTAAAGTAAACTGAACCCAAAAGAAAAGATATGGGGTATCAATTCTTGACAAAAAATAATTACACGAACATTAAAAAAATAAGAAGCAAAGAAACTGCGTTTTCATTTCTGTTTTTTCTCTCACAGCGAGGTCGTCGACTGCATGTTCAAGAAGACCCCTGGCACTGGTTTGAGAAGATTGTTGATGTGGATCACGCTACATCTTTGCACCGAAGAACACATACAATTTACAGCTCAATATATTATATGTAAATTTGTCGAAAAGGGAATCTGATTATCATCATCCTCCTTTAATTAAGGATAGCAAACAATTAAAATGTCAATTTAACAAAATCATCATTCATTTTTTTCGATTAAGATCAGCTGGAAAGTATAAATATATTGCACCACAGCGAAATTACTTGTTCATTGTGATATGTTATGCAAGTTTAAGTTCAGAGTGGGTTATAAAACGCATGAAGTCTTGCAATGTTTATATATTTAACCTATGTACGTTAGCCTGATTTAGAAATATTGACGAAAATATATGACAGATAGTCCGGAAAAACATTTATCTTACCTCCTATACATTTCTAGGAGTATGATTGGCTAAAAGCAACCGCGTGGAGACCGTATATATTTCATATTAGATTAGTAGGCGGGGCTTATCTCAATACACGGTTAGGAGTGGTGTTACGTCCCTTTATAAAAACAACAAGGTCTTGAGGAAAAATCTGAAAGGTTTCAACAGACAAAGAAATTCACAAAACACATTTAAAGCTATCAAGTTGTTTTTATTGGCATTTGTTTTTGTATAGACAAATGGAAGTAGGTTCTTTATACTAAGTATCGAAGACTAAATCACTTTGATAATACCACATGTTAAGATAGTCGGTAAGATAAATTCGTTACACAGTGTGCTAGTGACCGAGCTTCGCTCTCACCCCATATGGAATTTACTGACCCCATATATATCGTGTTAGGTCACTAGCACACTATCATTTGAAAAGGAATTCTTCATTGAATAGGTACACAAAAACAAATCACAAAACGACAACAGACACAACGTACGGATCTTAGAGAACCCGCAGTTATTGAAAGCTAGTTCAATGCCAATTACAAAATTGTTTTCTAGCTTGAAATATCAATCAGTACACATCCAATTAACTTGGTGTAGAGAAGTGACTGTCTATTAAAACCGTGACCTTGTGCAATGCCAAACTATAAAAGTACTTTACACATTTAAAAGTGACCGGATAGGAAACTATTGAAGGGTGAGACAAAAAATATCTTAAAACCTATTCTATTTCATCAAATGGGCAACTTAAAAGTAATTTTCCAGCATTTTTTATTAAAATTTAGTCGCTAAAAATGTTGGTCGATCGCCATAATGGAATACGCATTGCATGAATTCCACTTAGTTATACCTACACGAACGAATTATCATCGCTAAAAGTGTTCTTCCTTTTTTGAACATGTTAAAACGAGCTTTTTGTTAAAGAAATTAATCTTAATTATTATTGACGTAAACACGCGTAATTAAGGCAGAAGAGTAGAACATATTTGCACAAAAGTATCAGAACTGAGAGTACATGCAGAAGTCTAATTGAACCACAGACTGTTTAAGACCACCAACTTAGTAATTCAATCTTTTTGTAATTAAAGACAGATTGAAACATCTGAACACTTTTTTCTGCATTGTCCACAATGCCATTAACGTAAAGAGAGTAATAGTATACTGAACAATTTGTAATGTCATTCAAATACTCATATCAACATATGTTATGGTGACCTTTCAATGTCAGTACTCTGATGACTTAGGTATCGAAATATAGTCCTCCTGGATTTCTGTCGTCCGACAGTAAAACCCTTGCTAAAGTTGTTTGCTCTTTTGACTTGCGGGATGTATAAATACTCATCCACATCCGGTCGGAATAGGGATATAAATCCGATTTTTCGTAAGGAGTGAGTACCATGCTCGATGAACGTTAAAGATCCTTGTCCCAACTTATTGAGATGCCCGTAGCTGACCTGTTGCAAGGCAAAATTTCTGTCCAAATCCAAAAAACCCTCATAAGCCAATTGCAGTCCAAATTTCCCGCCCTTCAACCCGGAAGAAACATACCTATTATATTATTGTTAATTTCTGGATCATTTCTTCTCAATATACTATGCAATATTTGCCACTGGACGTTAAACAAATAACAATCAACCAACCAATCAATTTTTGAAAGTGAAAACCAAAATATCTTGTTTAATACAATATTTTTATTAAAATATTTATGTACACTAATATGAATTCGTTTATATAGAGTCAAACAAATTCATTAAAACATTGTCTATTTCGAAATGATGCTACATAGATTGTCGTAGATATTGTATAGTCATTTTTAGTCAACACATACTTTTTTTTGTAAAATACTATATAACATAGATATAAGAAGATGTTGTATGAGTGCCAATGAGACAACTCTCCATCCAAGTCACAATTTATAAAAGTAAACCATTATAGGTCAAAGTACGGTCTTCAACACTGAGCCTTGGCTCACACCGCACAGCAAGCTATAAAGGGTCCCAAAAATTACTAGTGTAAAACCATTCAAACGGGAAAACCAACGGTCTAATCTATAAAAAACGAGAAACGAGAAACACTTATGAACCACATCAACAAACGACAACTACTGAACATCAGATTCATGACTTAGGACAGGTGCAAACAATTGCAGCGGGTATGCATGTATGTTATTCATATTTTAAAATCTAAAAGTGATAATCACTTGTTTTCAAATGCTTATCTTACTTTCATAATAAAGTATTGTTTATACCAAAACTCTAAAGCAAAAAATGAACTATGTAAATCAAACCATGCAGTATTGGTTAGGATTGAACGATGAATCAGTATAATTAAAGAGACAATATTTTCGAAATGCACAGCAGGTGTAGTAAACTTGGTACCCCGGTTAATTGTATTGAAATTATATAATTTCTATGTCAGGTATACATGTGTTAAAACATATAAGATAATAACAAAAATATATACAAAAATATATGTTAAAATGAGAACTATTTACCCATACGATAATGTTGGTTAGAATTATGAATAATATTATAAAAAGATATATATTTTTGAATATTGTATACTTAAATCTGTTAGAGATAACTACAGATAGTTGTTCAATTTAACAGTCAGCCGACCAGCTGAATGTGTTTCCTCTTTGATGATGATATTCATCCGGCCTCCTGTGTCGTTTATATCCGAATGTGTATGGAGAAAATCCCACATAAGGCCACCTCGTCTCACCATATGACATAAAGGGTCTATCATAATAATAAGCGTTATTGCTTTCAGGATTGATATTGTATTGACTTCGTCTTTGAACTCTTTGATTGATATAACCCCTGTCACGATTCTGCTTCCCTGATGCTAATTTATGGGAACGTTGGAAGACAACATCTCTCCTGTCATCAGATTGTTTGGGCTGAAACAGTAAAAAAAAAAATGTTTGTGATTGAATAACATGCATGTCTATAATAAACGACACGGTATGATAAACATGCAAATAAGGAGATTCTAATGAGGTGAATATAAGCAATTATAGGCAACCGTACGGCCTTCAACAATAAAAAAAACCCATTCCGTATAGTCGGCTATACACGGCACTGACATAATGAACTTGAAGCAATTCAAATGAGAAAATGAGCGGCCTAATTTATAACAAAACAATTTACAAAAATAAATACGACGGTCAGTTTCTGATACTTTGATTTCGACTCGATTTTGAATACTGGTTCCACACTTTGAGGCAACGCTATCAAAGTCAGTATCATTTCTATTTTTAAGCAAACACGTTTCATGGTAAATTAGCTAATAACGAAATGTTTATCATGTCACTGGAACAAATTTATTAACACTTTTTGCACTTTTGAGACAAACTTTATATCAAAAAATAAGAAAATTATCATTCAATAATAGATAACAAAAATGGAATACGAATAAAAATATCAGATAGGTCAATGACAAAGCAACTCAGCAACATTTAAAGCTTAAAGATAGAGAATTTTGTATTTTATAACATATATAAGAATAAAAAGATGATAGAGAGTTGCTAATGAGACAGCTAGGCACCAAAGATCAAAGGACAGATACATAAATTATAACTGCCACAGAGTCTTCAGCACTGTAATATGAAAAACTCACAACTGTATTTTTAGCTTAAAAGCAGACATTGCGATGACAAAATGTGAAAAAAAAAAAAATACCAAACAATTCGCTGATTGTTTTCTACTAAAAAAACGATGATGACAGAAGGCAACCACCGACAATATATTCAAAGACACAAATAACCTAAGGGAATGGCATTAATCATTTAAATTAAAAACAACTAACGCGAACCAACGTTAAGTGATTATTTTGAAGGTGTATATACCCGACTCTTTGATAAACTTTTACTTCTGTCACATAAAGCTATCGACATCCATCATATGTTACCAATATTGTTCCAGCATAATCACATCCGCAATTTTGTTTTAATCTGGTGGTATATAGTGTGTCCTTCTGTCCAACTTTTGTCTCTGAATCAGCTCCTGAACCACTTGAAGGAATTTCATTAAACTTTCACAGAATATTATTTTGGAAAGACACACTATAGTACAAATAATTCGTATAATTAGATCTGTATATTCTTCATACCAGAGTGTAATTCTTGAATATGCCAATTTAATGGGTTTTTCTATATATCTACCTTTTTGTCATCTTTGTCTAATCTTGATTTGTTCCGAACTTTTCTTTCCTTTGTGTTACTATTCGATATACTGTTGACTGGAGCTGTACCCTGTGTTTTTGTTTTTAAAATGTCATTGAATTCTGTAATTAAAAAAGTAACCAAACTCAATACTATAAATGCAAACAATTATTTGTCTAAAAGTAAGATACCTTGATGACCCTGAAAACCGAGCATGTATATGAATATGACGTACTTGTATTTTACGACATAATTATGAGCAACATTTTGTCCTTTATTGTCTCTCGGACCTGACGTTGTCAATGAATTTTCCTGATTATGTAGTCTCGTTTCAATATCTGTATCGTATGCCATTGCTGACATTCAGTTGAACAAAATTTAATTGGCTCCTTTTAAATGCAGTTCTTTTTAAAAGCATTTCTATAAAGTTTATTTAGTAATTTTATGAATAACATATTATTTAATACCCAACAACATCCCTGTGATTTGTTCCATAAACTTTCTTATGACCACAAATGTATCCAGTTTAATATTTTAATGTCAAATGATGTAATTCAATCATTTTTAGCAAAACTTTACATACCATATTTTATCAAGAAGGTATTGTGTGTAAATATATTTTGAATGATTAAGTTTTAATTGTTTATAGTTATGTGTTATTTTTGATGTGTCTAATAATTCAGCAATTTTGCTGGGTACTAATGTTTTATTTGTAATATTTAATTTTCTGTTGCATATCATGGTATTATGTAATCATCGTGTTTTATATTGGTATGTGACTATTATAAATTATTCTGATTCAGTAATTACGAGATTTAAGCACTTTCTGTTTCCAGAGTCAATGTCCATTGCCAATATTACAATTTCTTCCAATGTCTTCCAAAAGACAAAACAAAGTAAACATCACATGAATATATAAAGCTGCCATATATACTGATCTTGCAAGCTTATACCAGAGAGTCAAATTTTGAAGAAAAAATCCCACCATCCTCTGTAACGTACCATGCATTCACAGTGAATTATTTACTCCTTAAAAACAGTTGTGTGCACGTAACAAAAATTGCGCATGGCTTATTTCAACTAACGCCTTAACATGTTTGATTCTACGAATATCACTGCTATGAATTTACGTGTCCTGAACATTTACGCAAGGACTTGGATACGTAACTCCCAATTAAGCCATATTTGTAAGTGAAATACGCCTTATTACTTCGTACGGACGATTAAGTGACTATATACCTTGAATTTTCAATTTGAGAAAATCCAAATTTAGTAAAGAGTGTCAATTTACAGATTTTTATATAGTAGATACGAATCGAGTTTACAGTTGCATGTCATTAAGGGATAATATTCCACAGGTGAGCCTTTAATTTTACATGCCATTTGTTATAAAATGAACATAGTTTAGGGTGGTTGTTCTACGAGCATGTGGCTAAGATTTACAATACAGTGGCATAGCCTTGCAGTAAGAACGGATAACTTCCTAGTAATAAAAATTGTGGAAAACCAGTAATACTCGTGATATTGGTTGTTGTTTGGCTATTTGTGACATATAGATACGGTCTCTTCATGTAAAAAACCTTAAAAGAAAATCGGTGTGTATGTGTGCAAGATTTTATTACATCTTACAAAAATACAACTTTTTCTAATATCAATATAACTGCTTTCATTCCGGTCAACCCACTTTGCAAAACATGCCTTATCAATATGTTGTAAGAATTGTTCCATCTTGAATATGCATTAACTGTTTTGGCACTTGACCTGAAAATAACATCAATCAATATCTTGTCGATATTTTAAAATACCGACAACATTTTAGGTCATCGGTCTAATAGATGTCTTAAACGAAATCGTATCTTATTTTTATTTTGTTCTTTAATCCCTTATAACTGAAGTCAACTTGAAACTTACCTGTAGAGGGAACAGAACTTTCTCTTGTCGCATCTTTCTGAAATGAAAAGAAATTGTATACTACCTATCTTCTTTGAGTTACAGCATGCCTGACTGTCTCTATGGAATTATGCAGGTTAATTCATAGATATCTTAATATTAACAAGGTAATCGAAAGCCATTTTGTTTTAAGGTAAATTAACTGTATACTGCCATCCTGGATTGTAAAATAGCAGTACACAATCGGTCTAGTTTTCTGCTTAAATCTGCAAATTTTGAGACAATTTTGGCAATACATAGCTTATGTGAGACTGTTCATTTGAATAAAGTAAAATAAGTGATTTATTACATTATTCAGACTGTTTTAACAAATATTAAGTATTTGTGTTATGCGAATAAATTTTTCAACTAAGAGATTTGAGGGTATATAACTCTAGTAGTAAAAAAAATTATGTTAAAGACATTTTCAGATTTTATTGATAAACAAGTTCGGTGACACCGATATTTATTTTTATTTTCTTAAAGCATATTATAAAACATATCTTCTCATATTTCATTTCACAATTCTACCTCATACATTTCTTTTTATTCGCAAAAAAGTTTTTTTTCATGAATAATCTGTGCAAAATTGGATAGGGCAATTTTACAAAACTTGTAGCTGGAAATAGCACCCATACTTTTATTACATTTTTGAAAACAGTATGGTAGAACAATTGGAATTATTCATATCTTAAAGTGTTGTTTTCATTTTTGTGTATATATCTCCCAGTTGATATGATATTCCAGACCTTGCATTTCTTAATATGATTTTCTTGAACGAGGGTGGCTGCTTATTAGCAAGCTATTGAACCAAGAGTTTCAAGTGGTGAAGTTGAAAGCATCCCTTCGAAAATTTTACGGACGCCATCAGGAGTTTGTTTATCCATATGGAATATCTGTTTCACAGATGACGACGGGTATGTTTCAATTGTCGTAACCACAATCTCGTCCTTTTCTCCTCGAATGTGACCTACGAATTAGACTTATCATCAGGTTTGTAAAATACAGAGATAATGGTTCGTGTACTTCCACGAGAAACACACGACGGGTACCACATGTGAAGTAGGATCTGCTCACCCTTCCGGAGCACCTGAGATCTCCCCCGATTTTTGGTGGGGTACCAGGAATGCTCAAAGTTAAAAAGTCAAAAGCCCGGTGACGGGATGCATAAATACTGAGTCACGTCAAATGTCATACGACCAAAAGAAACATAATTGCACGAAGACAAATAACGGGGGAAACTAAAGTAAAATAAAAAAGATACACAACTTAACCCTTAAGACTTCTATCTTTATAAGTGCATCATAATTTACGTAAGATGTTTCGTAAAATGGTTCGTAAAATTACTGACTTGTGAATAAGTTGATGATTTATCAGCTTTCATTCCTCGCATCTTTTGTATACCATCTCTGACCTGTTGGTTCAAAACTGTATGGAATAGGAAAACAAAAAATCCCTAAAATACAGAGATAATAAAAGATCTTAATTGAACGTTCAATTTTTTGGTCCAACTGGTTACAAGTTAAGCAATGCTCATATATATCATAGTAAAATTACAATCACTACAACTCTTTTTATTACTTAGTTAATGATTTGTTAAAAATAAACATGTCACAATAATTGCTCCTTCGTCACGTACGCGAAAAAAAACCAATAAGAATCGAAGCAACAGAAATCATTTTTCATATCTTTCGTTATATAATCATTTCAATTGCATTGTTCATGTTTTCAGTCTATTCTCATGTAATTGTTTTATACTTTGATTTAGAATTAAAAATTCCTTCATTGTCCTGATAATAAAGAGGACAAAATACCACTCTATATGGTATTTTGAAAAAAATGATGGAAAATCTTAAAAGACAAAAAGAAAGTATTCAAAGTATTTGCATAATGAATAAAAGATTTATTTAAAAAATGCGTGATATAAGGAGGGGGAAATATAGGCATAGAGTAAATATAGGCCAGAAACCATTTCCTTGATTCACAATCGGTAATGCCAAAACTATCAAATAGATTACAAAGTTAAAATACTTAAAATCGGAGCATTACATTTGCGCGAAAAAAATAATTACGTTTGCGCGCAGATTTTGGTAACATTTGCGGGCATTCCTTTTACAGGTAACCACAGGTAAATTTTATAATAGGCAAACACAGGTACACTATACTTATTTGTGAATTTATTTATCTATTTACAAGTAACCCTTCCGTAAGTCTAAGTCCCCTGCTCACCAACGAAAAGATGGAAGTTGGGTTTCGAGCTGGATACATTCGTTTTATTAATATGAACAAACACTAAGTCCTGGAAATATATACAGATAAAAATGTAATAACATAGTAAATCTGAAGAGAGAAGATACAGATTTTACATGTCGGCACGTGCTGAATATTTAAAGCCAACTGTTTGAGAAAATTATTTCTGTCAATTTCTCCTTTCAAGTAATTTCGGAATTGTTCCATCAGATACTTTAATTTTTTTAATCAATTCTACGTACAACTAACTGCTGATGTATTAGTTTGGGTCAACATTGATAACTATCGACATTTTCAGTATGAATTATATTTATTTCACCTGTATTACCTGAAAAATTAAAGCACGCAAATGTAATATAAAGCTGCAAGCAAACAAAAAATTACAATCAGCAAATGAGAGCAAATGCCATGCGCCCACTTTTAATAAAAGGTGAATTAGTTACATTTATGAAAAATATCTTGAATGTCATAACAGAAGTTTTTTGATGAAAAAGAAATTATATTAATCGAAAAATGATCATACGATCTACAAAAATCAAAAAGTAGATTAAAACCAATCCAAAATGATGAAGAATGTTAGGAACGCTAATTTTTTAACCTTTATCAATATATATTTAACCCTGCGAGGTTCTCGTAGGATAGTGTATTGAACCCCTCCCCCAAGAAACTTTTAAATATTTTTAACAAAGCACATCCCTCACTTATTGTTTAAAAAATTATATTCTTCAAATGAAAAATCAATTAAACGAACTTGTCTCGACAAAACTCATGTTTCAAGTGTTAGTGACTCACACGATCTATTTTTTTAAGACTTCACTATGAAAATATATTTCTATTACGGCATTTAACATTTGTAAATAGTGAAAATATAGTTGAAA